TTTTCAGCCATATTTCCTGTTTCCAATACCCTTGCCTTGATATTAGCATGTAAGCAGAAAATTTGCGAATATTGCATTCTTGACATTGTACGGCGGAATTGCGGGGTTTTGGCGAAGACTCTTTCCTCTCTGTGAATAGAAAAACTCATTTTACTTAATTCATTTATTAAAGTGTTTCCATTCATCTTATCCCGTATTTCTCAAAGTAAAGGCTGTAATGACGATCAAGCAGATCTAGCGTGCTTGGGTTGTGGTCGTGGAGGGATGATATCAGCAAGCAACAAGACAACCCCCACCAAATCCAAACTGCAAAACCATCACACAATCTCAATGCCAGCACCTCAGATCCCCAACCTAAACACTCTTCGACGAGGGGCTGGAAGAGGCCGCTTGAGGGGGCGTGGAATCAATGAACCGACTACTAGCGATGCGGAGGGCACAGTAGCAAAGGATAAGATCATTCAGCAAACAGACAACGACGCCAGTGTTTCCAGGCTCAGCGCCGTGGACCTAGGATATCTCCATGACCCGTTTGTACAGGTCCTAGTAAATGGCGGGGGAATAGGTTCAAGAAGGTATCCGATAATTAATAGAGGTATTCCTCCCATTCTTCATTTAAATCTTTGTCTGAACTTCTCTACACATTTCTGGGCTCTCTCGAACTGGCTGCGCAATACGTTGCTGACACTGCTCTTTGTAGGAACGTATGTGCGAACAACCGCCTTGGATTCCCTCGTATACCGTTTCCTAAACACAAACAAGACCTCGCCTCGAAAGAGACAGATCATATCACTCGGCGCAGGATCAGATACGCGAGTTTTCCAATTACTCTCAAAACATCCGTCCCTTGACCTGGTATACCACGAGCTAGATTTCCCAACCAACACAGCAACCAAAATAAAAGCCATTCGCTCCTCGCCTCTCCTGCGCAAATCCTTAGGAATACACGAGCCAGAGGATGCGAATATATCAGCGGATGGATATGCTCTGCATTCGAAATACCTTCACATCCATCCAATTGATCTGCGGACGTTATCGGCTTCCAGCTCACCCACCTTACTGCAGGGCGTGGACAGGACGGTTCCAACGTTACTTATATCTGAATGCTGTTTGATCTATCTCTCCCCCACAGATGCGGTCAATGTACTCTCCTATTTTACGCAGGCTGTCTTCCCGCCTTCTTCAACGTCATCGACCGCCCCATCTACACCGGAACTCACATCTATACCAGCAGCGTCTGCCTCCTCAGTACCCCTAGCTCTGATACTGTACGAGCCAATACGGCCTGACGACCCGTTTGGGAGAACTATGGTGGCTAATCTCGCAACGAGGGGCATCCATCTGCAAACGCTGCATCGCTACGCGTCATTATCAGCTCAGCGGGAAAGGTTGCAAGGACATGGATTTGTGAGTGGCCAGGGGGCGGCAGATGTAGATTTCATATGGGAACGATGGATCAGTGAGGAGGAAAAAGAGAGAGTGGCTAGGCTGGAGATGCTCGATGAGATTGAGGAGTGGAAATTGTTAGCCAGTCACTACTGCGTGGCATGGGGCTGGAGAGAAGAGAAGGGAGATAACCCGGAAGGAGGGGTATTTGAGGAGTGGAAGGAAATGGAGGGACAGTAATTTGGCGTGAGAGAAGGAAGAAAGCTCTGGACGAAGGCCTCGAGCGCCATTGGTATATATAACTGTATGTGGATTGGGAATCTCGTGGGCTGCTTTGCAGAGCATACAGACCCGACGGCAATTTTCGCGTTTCCGCCCACTTTGTCTTCAGTGCAGACTCTGTTTTTTTGAAAATCGGGAGATCGTGATTAAGGCTGTACCTTTTTCACCACCTTCTGTTTTCGGATGGCTCAGCTTGTTGAATAATGCGTATATCCGGTGCTGGGATCTATTTTCGGTTACTACCATGGGAAAATCAATATGATCAGCAGAATCATTTGAATGAAGCTATGCCAACAGTCAATATGAGATTATGAAGGGTTCTAACACTATTTTGCGTACGTGTTCCATCCAAATATGTTCACTCGCGTTTCCAGTTTCCAGTTTAGCTCTTTTCATCTCCATACCTTTTCATTTATTTGGGATGATACTTGCCTGGACTCTAACAATAAATATTCAGTTTCACAGATGCCCGACGCTCAATACCGAACCTTTTAACATCTCCTATATTCCACATACTGCATCAGCCAACCGGGAACTGTGTTCAGAATTTCTCAACTACTGGGTTCGTATATATATTGCTTTCTCGAGCGAGCTCGGAGTTATTACTTAGGAGGAAAATATAAACCGCCCGATAGCAACCACGAAGTACGAACGGAAGTGGCTACCTAAACAAGACGTAAATATGAAACTGGAAGCCGGAGGGGTTGTTCAGCAGAGATTTCCCTCGAGCCTAAGTGGATCTAACCGACTCATTAAGGTTAGTCGCAAATATTCCCTCGAGTGCTTCGTGCGTTGGTATTTGGGTTGGATACACAGCGATGATCATGCGCGACTATAATCCCTTGTCAAACTGAATTCCGTGCTCTCTCCTTAACTTTTTCCCACCTTTTTCGGGCTGCCTACATACAGTCCCCCTTTTATGAATTATTTGGCTGTGCCCATTTGTGTCTCATTTTCAAGGCAGGAATGAGGAAATGAAGATGTAGGCTGATGCCGTGGCATGTGGTCATCTCGCTGGAGGCTGGCTGCTGGCGATCAGACGGATCAGATTGCACCCACCACCACTCGTCAGTATCAATGCATACAGCGTAGTAGCATGGTCCATTTCCGTCCTAGGTGTATTCATTTTGACTAGTGACTGCCATGCGGATAGCTAATCCGACGCTTACACTGTGGCGGTTTGGATAATAAAGATTTTTCTACTTCAAGAGATGACCCGGCCCGGACCGCCGCAGAAGGTTTTCAGGTATCCGCAACAATATGTGGGCGCGTTTAAAGGTTTGATACAGTCTCATTTCTACCCGGCATTCATCTCTTCCCGTTCTCGGCGATCAGCTACGCGGAGAATCAAATTTCTAATGTACTTGCTATGTCCCGAAAATTCCCTCCAGTTGCTGGTGACGTCAAGTACAGGAATGATTCCCGGAAAATAACAGCACAAATATAGTGATAGGGCGGGTAGGGCTGCGGTTCTCATTGTTTCTTTGTTCGTGACCCCTTAAATAGCCATGGCAGTACATCTACTGTACAAATAATTTACCAACCTCGAAAAACGGAAAGCTATACGGGTCTAACGCAGGTCTATCGGTGGGATTGATAATTGAAGGTTTTATTCTCGGCATATTGCTCTATGCCCTTGTGTTGCATGCGCTGCTTCGGGTAACATCAGAGTTCTACCCTGCCCAAGGTAGCCAACTCAACAATTCTTCCACATTCTCACGCCGTGGATGCTTAGAACGTTTTCCATGCACACTAGGCGATAAACCGGCAGTGCAGACGGAGAATTTCCAGTGCGCCTCTTTCACTCTAAAATATCTTACAAGCACTTCCATGGGTCATTCGTTACATTAAATGTTATTGCAGCTTGACCCCCGACGGCGATCAAAAGTGGCTTGAGTAATTCTAACATATCGCACACAGGTCGAGGTATATAAGGAGAAACAACAGCCTCGCGGAAAGACATTCTTTTTGAACCCTTCTCTACATAAGCTACAATTTTCCAGCGTTGATATTGCAGGATACAGAACAAACTTCCTCGAAATCGCAAACTATCAACCTCTATAATACACACGAAGTTATCCCATATATTTCCCAATATGAAGTTTATTGACCTATTTTTCATTGCCCTGTTCGGCCTTGCGCTCGCAGCCCCAGCCGAAAATGACATTCTTAAACGAGTGAGAGAGCTATTTCCCCTCTTCTACTTCCCTTTCCCATAGTCCTCATCCCCCTTCCCAATCATAAATTGTCAAGCCCGCCAAGCAACCAGTAATTGACCCAACAATCCCTGCCTTGGGAGGAAATGCGGATAGGACGGTGTCTGTGGAGCCAGGGAGGGAAAAGAGTGTGCTAATGACGCCGAATGCGGGAATATCCGCGGATGTAACTGTAATGTAAGTTCCTCCCCAAGAGATACCATATTGCCTTTCAAGAGGGCGAGGAACGATGGCCTTGTCTGCAGTTTTACACAGCTTCCTTATCCCTCCCCCCCCCAAGCGTTCATCGGCATTTCCTTCTGGGTATACTGGCGAATTCATACGAAATAACAATTGTAACAAAAACAGCGGCCCCTAGGAGAAATAGCGAAGCCCAAGGGCAACTGTGGACCAGCACGAAATCTCTAATGATATCTCCCCTCTTCTCGCATAAATTCGAAGAGGCTGCAGAAAAGAGCAGCAGGCGCTCGGACTCGGGCCAAGAACCCATCTGTGCTTCTTATCGTTCGTTGATGCATAATGGATTGAGCGTGGATGGACGAGCGGATGGATGGAATGCAACGCAATCATTTGAATTATTTAGCTAGCTAGTAGTTTTGCATGAGATCCAATCAAGCCGTTCGTTTATTTATATATCTCTCAATGGGAAAAATGATCGAGGGAAACTGCGGAAGACACGATTGTATCACGCTTCTCAGGATGGCACTTATCCTTCACCTGTTAGGCCTGAATGAGACAGTATCCGCAAATATCAAAAGAGAATGGATATACATCAAGCGCCGCTATGCTATGGAGCTGGATTTGGACGACGGCAAGGCACATTTGGTGCTATTCTTTCCCCAAGGGCCTTGCAGCCTATATTTGGCCAACTGAGCTAGACGGCAACAGTAGAAAAAGTATGTTAAATACCTCTCACGAAATGGTTGCTGACCGTGAGGCCTGTCTATAACTACTACATAGAGAGTATCGAGTAGGTTGTATCGTTTACAGGTTGATGGACAAGTGACGTAATCCGTAACTAGTCAATGCGAGAGAGAGAGAGTAACCAGCCACAAGTACTTAGTTAACTAACTAGTTAGTTACCGCTGGTGTGCCACAAATCACCAGCCACTTTAGTTACCTAACCCAGCCAAACCATGCGCTGCTTTTACGTCTAAGAGGAACAGGAGGAACACACCTCTTCCCCCTTTTAATTAACATCCTTGTTGAGATCGCTCGAGTAGCCGCGTCTCCGTGTTCAATATGGAGACTGATTCGCAAACAACTCCTGGGCCACGTGCCCGCCTTCCCGCAAGTCAGGTCGACTGTAAGTGGTGGAAGAGGGGCCATTGTTTCCGTGGTCGTGAATGCTATTTCCGCCATGATGATGCTCTGGCCGGCGTGGACAAGCCCGCAAGGCGCCCCGCAGCCGGTGCAACCGCAGTAAATACCCGCGCTGAAGCAGCTGTAGCTGGTAGGTGTTTGATCCTCGCAGCTAATTCAACTCCTCTAAACCCGCTTTTGTTAGAATGAGTCTCAATAAGCTAACATGCAACCGTAATTAATACGAAAGGCCCTTCGGTTTCTTCTGAGTCCACCTCAAACCAGACTCCTCCCACGACAGCTAACTCTCCTAAGTCAGAGACCCCTGAGGAACCGTGTGGAATTTGCATGGAAACTCCTACTGTCTTCGGCCTGCTTGTCAATTGTGATCACGTCTTTTGTCTAAGTACGTATTCCACTCATCCACCTTGTTTCTTGACCTTCACTCAAGCAATATCAGGTGATTAACTTGGATAGGCTGTATACGGAGCTGGCGCTCCTCTGTGGGCACTTCTGCTGAAGATATGATCAATACTCCCGATTCTCGTGTCCCAAGACAGACGACTAAGACGTGCCCGCTCTGCCGGACTAAAAGCGAATTTGTCGTGCCCAGCTCAGTATTTCCAACCCCGCCACAACCTACCGCTGCAACCACTGGGCTTGCCAGGAGCGAAACTGCTTCTACGAATGACTCCACCGGAATCGCTGAGCCTAGTAGTTCGACTGGAGCAGACAACCCGGCCAAGGCTAAAATCATTGATAGATACCTCGCCCGCCTAAAGGTAATCCCCTGCCGCTATTTTGCAGAGAGCATTCAACGATGGCGTGATCTACCTATTATCGAGAACCCAGACACAGAAGTCGGCGGTCTCCTTCATCCGGAATTCTCGGGGGAATGTCTCTTTGGAAACGAATGCCACTTCGCTCACATCCACCCCATTACGAAAGTTCCCTATATCTTCACCAAGAAGGAGATATCCTCTATGAAGCGCGCAAACCATGCGAGAAGAGCAAGGGCTCTTCGCAGAGCAATTAGGCGATTTGGACAAGCGCCACGCGGGTTCGTTACGAGCGAGGATCGCAGAGAATTGCAAAGGAGGTTTGGGACTCTTCGCGTCGAGGATGACAACGAAAGTAATGCCGCGTCTGATTCCCCACTCATTTCGGAAGGTCCTAGTCTCGATACCATTCTTAGCCTTGGGCTCGTTTTCTACGATGTGGTTGATGAGGATATCCCGTGGCTTGCGGGTGACGATGATGTTGACGATGAGATTTTCCGTTTCTTCTGAACGCCAAAACTCCAAGGGCTGGTTTTTTGAGGGGGCAGGTTAACAGGCGGTTGGCTCTTCTTTCCTTCCTTCTTTCTTCTTTTTTTGCTCCCATTTTTTTCCGTGGCGGCAGTACATGACCCGGTGTTGTTTTTGCATTTTACACTCACGTTCAGCATGGCGTTGATTCCAGGGAACGATACAAGCCTCCATATGGCAGGTGTTTGGTGGCGCTCGTGGTTAGCCACTTGTGTTTCTCATTTTATCTAATTTTAATTGCCAGATCTTTTGATACACGATTGCTGGATGCCCGATACCCAAGGGATAATTAAGGATCCAAAAGTAATGATGTGCCCAAGAAGAGCGTAGTTTAATGAAAATTAATATCACAATTAAGGTCCCATCTGAAATAAAGTATTGAAGTGCAGTCTGATCTTTTGCGATTTTGATCTTGTTACGTCAGTTTTGCTCTCCAGTTAATGTACGAGTACTAGGATGATGTAGTTTATGGGCCGTGGCTGTTGATCGTTAACTATCGATAGGCGTGACGCTGGCGCTAATCCCCGGCCTGACCAACCCCACACTTTCACAATAGGTAACCTCACCTCCCTAACGTCGACCATCAAAATTGCAGTTTCGGCGCATTGCGGAGATAATAGGATCTTGGAGAGATGTATTTATGAAACCTTTTCTTGAGAAGCGCTTTATTCTCTCCTACAGAGATATGAACTCACGGTAGACATGCCCGTGCCAAAGCAGACTGTACGCCCCCTCCATCCCATCCCCTCACCAACGCAAATTCCCCTTCATCTCATCTAAACCATAACCCCCCGCGTGGCAGGCAAGCTGACAAAATGTAAACCTTAGACCGAACTTATCTTCTCCCTCCGCGCTCTCATCTACCGAATCCGCCAGCTGAAAAAGGAACGCCACGGCTACTCCAAAGCCAAGCACCGTGAGCTCGCGAAGCTGCTCAAGGAAGGCCGTGACGATCTCGCCCGCATAAAAACCGAAGATGTCATTGGAAATGATAATGTGATTGCTGCGCTGGAGATTTTGGAGTTATACTGTGAGCAGCTTCATGTGCGTGCGAATATAGTGGACCATATCGCGCTAGGACAGAAGCGGGCTGGGCCAAAGAAGAATCAACAGGGTGCGCATGCGAAAGGCGCGACTCATTCTAAGCCTTCCGCTGGCGGAGGTGGATGGGGAATATGGAAGGCTTTGGGATTCGGGCCCTCGCAACCTCCACAATCACCACCGTCGACAACACAACGACCGGATGACCTCGAACAGCGGGCTGGACGTGGCGAAACGTCTACAGCTCAGAATGAAACGGCGACAACGACGGAGGCACAAGCTAAAGATGAACAACAGCAGCGGCAAGAATTTCCATCTACCCCCCCGACAGAAAAAGACGTTTATCTCGACCCAGACCTAGATAAGGCCGCTGCAGTCATATTCTACTGCTACATGCGCTTGCCGCGTGATATACCAGGCCTACCAGAGCTGCGCGCAAAACTTATACAGAGATGGGGCAGTGACTTTGCGAATAAAGCCCAGGGAGCTGACCCCTCCATCCCGCTCCCGGACGAATTGATTGATCGGTTGAGAATTCAAAATCCGCCTGAATTGCTGGTGGAGAATTATTTGAAGGAGATTGCGAAGGCACATGGGATCTCGTGGCATCAGGAAGATGATGAGGAGGCAGATGGTGGAGCTAAAGGGGAAGAGGAGGGGGTGGGGAAGGGGGAGACGGTTAAAGGGGAAGGCGAACAACAAGACGATCCGCCTGCTTATGAAAATGATGTGTCACAGACGAAACATGTTGACGGTAGTAGAGCTGATGGTTTGAATGGGAGTAAAAAGGATTCCACTCCACAGGATGCACATATGCCTGGACCTGCACAATCAGGTCCACGGGAAAAGTCATCATCTGGAAGTACTGTGATTCCTAATCACAAATCTAATGAGTCTGCTACGAACGGCACATCCTCATCTAAGTCTCAGGCGCCGACACAGGCCCCTGCTGCTACTGCTGCGGCGGAGAGCAAAAAAAGCGACATTCCCGACGTCGATGAGTTAGCTAGGAGATTTGCTGCGTTGAAGAAGTGAGAGGGTCAGTACTGTCAAACTGTCAAACTGTCAAACAATGAACCTGTGCATGTTAAATCTGAACAGGATGATAGTGACATTTGCTCAACTCTCTTTTGGATATCACATTTGTTACTGATTGAGTTTGTCTTGCAAGCAAGCTTGTGCATTATTATTCTTTTTTGGACATGTTAGGTTCCTATATCTATCCTGCTCAGTTGTTCTTCGGGAGGACTATTATATATATATTCCAACTCAGTATTTAATCAAGAACATTTTGTATGTTGCTAGAGTGGGATAACCTGTATTCATAGTTAAATGAAGAGAGGAGCCATGTTTCTGCTGCATTTCGTATAAAGCAGTCTTATTTTGATCACTATTAAGATCACGCTTACAACAAGAAGAATAAAAATTGAAACTTGATTCCGTATATATACATCTATCTACATAGGTAGCAAGCTACTGGAAGATTTGGATGTTTCTCCTCCGGATTAGTCCCAGCGAGTGTATCCTCACGTCTGCCTCAACTCTTTCTCTCCTTCTCACCATATCCCCACCATGTTTCTGGAGACCCATCAGCCAACCGCTAAAAGGACGCATAGCACACAATACCAACAACTTTGCCAAGTTCACGCGATGGAGCAATTTCAGCTGGGCGGCAGACCTGCAATCCCCTGCCAGATCATAGAAGAAATGGAGTCGCCCTTTTTCACTAGATTTTGGCTTGTTACTATAATCCACACCATCTTGTAGCCTCCTTCCTTTGCCTAAATATTAACTACCATTTAAATAACAGTGATACTGTTTCTTATCTAGTTACTTAATTGTTGAGCCTGCCAAGTTGCAACCATGGACACAGAGCTCACTCATGAAATGCGCTTAGCAGAGGGCCGAAAATGCTGGCTTCAACTCAGACAAATTTCTCCTCCCCAAGGAACAAGTTGAAAAAGAGAGAGTTTCTGATTAGAGGCTGTGAGGAATACCAGAAGGGGGTGGCAATGAAGTGGCTAAAGATGGAGGCGACTATGCATGGTATGGTATATTCGACCGTTTGGCTCTGTCGGGATTTGCAGTAAGTAAAGTTATCTAATTTGAAAATAATTAAGAAAATAAAAATCGAGAAAGGAGATGAGTTATATTTCACAGCTTAACATTCTATCTCTAGGGGTCACCAGCATGTTGCTATGAAGGTTTACGAGCGAGACTTCACTCAAGCCCAAAGAGAGCTGCATGTATACAACCAGTTGAACCCGATCGTGACTGAACATATCGGATCTACCCTTGTGCGCACTGCGGTGGATAATTTGGACATCAGCTTACCAAAAGGCAACCATTTATGCCTTGTCCATAAACCCCTTGCCATGAGCCTGGCAGAACTTAGGGCTAGAGCACCCTCAAGGAAGTTCCCGGAGGACCTGTTGAAGCCTACCTTAATCCACATCTTCTATGCTCTCGACTTCCTCCATAATGAAGCTCAAGTCATTCATACTGGTTCGGACCTCAACACAATCCCCCAAAAAACTCGTTTATTTTTCAGTGACATGTCACATTAGATCCAAGAGAAGAACATTACGTTGGCCATAGAAGATGAAACCATACTGTCTACTTTTGAATAGAATGAGCTCGAGAGTCCTAGGCCTCGAAAAAATTGACGGCGATAGAATAATCTACCAGTTCCGAAAATCCATGGCCGCCCTGTGTGATATGTGACTTTGGGGAGGCTCTTACTAGTTCAACGACGTGCCATGAAGATATTCAGCCTTACTTGTATCGGGCTCCTAAAGTTTTGCTGCGGATGAGGTGGGACAACAAGGTGGATATCTGGAATGTCGGCGTTCTAGTAAGTTTCTAGCATTGGACTGCATTATGCGTTACTGACTACGGAGTAGTCAATTAGATTTGGGATCTCTTTGAAAATATGCACTTGTTCGACGCTCGTGACGAAAATAGGCAGAATTTGAACTTGCATCACTTGGCTGAAATGGTTGCGTTGCTTGGGACTCCACCGGTTGGATTTCTAAGACGTAACTAGTGAATACGCACCAGAATTTTTTGATTATCAAGGTGCGTCTCCACAACTATGTGCTTGCTGTTGGAAATGAGAACTGATAGCTGGGGGATTTATAGGAGCCTGGAAAGGTGCAATTGACATTCCAGCCATTTCACTAGAAATGTTGGAAAGAAACCTCTCCGACAGTAATAAAGATATGTTAATTCAATTCGTACGGAAAATGCTACAGTGGAATCCGGAAGCGAGGCAATCAGCAAAAGAACTCCTTGATGACCCCTGGTTACGATCCGAGTAATCCTAGGTTGTATCTTCTATCCTTCAAATTTTGAGCTTGGTATCTGTTGCTTTTGTCCAACCTCTGCGCATTACTTGCCAGGTTCTGGAATGACCATTGCACGGGAAAACCTGGCGCAATGGGAAATAAATGGCAGTCGAAGTCTCATCGCGCAAATAGCCTACAGGGGGCTCCAGGCAATGGAATTTTGAACGCCACTTACCCAACAGCCATTGCAGGATGCGAGAAGTCAATCATTTGTGCTATAATCAACTGGAAAAGCCAAGTGAACAAGACCTCATTAGTTTCAAGTCAGAAATGCTATTTCGCGTTGTTCTGGACCGGACTTGAAGCTTCTTCTGGAAAAGGTGTACCTGGACCTGGGGATCTACTAGGGATAACCGGGAGACTTTGCTTTACGAAGTTATGGCAAGGAACGATGCCCTTAGTTGTCTAAGAAGTTGGTACGCTATGATTTCGGCAATTTAATTAACGCGGCGTGCTTCAAGTTTTCGCATTATGTGAATCGGACGCTTTTTGGGAATATTTAAACTTGTTGACCTACTTATATATGTATTTTCCAAATTTCATGAAAGAAATAATAGGGTGGATTCTGCGGTGAGTATTATCTATTTTGACGGCCCGAGTTCCGTTCAGTCGTAGAACTTAATAGACGTTTTAAAAATATTGAGAAGAGGGACTGGGCATGCTAAGATAACATTAACTATAGTAGATATCTTATTTAGTTAATCAAAAGCTCTTTCATATCTGACTCTGTGCAATGTCTTCAATTTCCCTCCAAATCATTTCAAGAATGTGTATTTTGTTCGCCATTCTGCCCTATTCAACACTCTACAAGGGCAGAATACCCTGTGCCACCCTGTTAGGCCGATAGGTAGAATTGGAATGGGCCTATATAATTAATTTGTAGGGAATTTCTAACGTCTACTAGATCGCTCGCAGTTGACATGTAGCCAAATGGTTCCCATCCCATTCCATATTCAATACTATTTTTCAGTAAAACGTAATTTTTTAAACCAAAATCAATAAGCATAACAAGGGCCGCCGCCCTCGCTAACTTGTTTAATTTTCTTATTTTGCCTCAGGAGGATAAATCGCATCCCCCATGCCGCCACTGCAGTTGCAATTGATAGCCCAATGCTCGAAGACATGGCGATTAAATACCGTGGTCCGTCGGAACTGGGCCAGAGATACTATCACGGGATTAACAAAAAATCGAAAGAGTATTCATATAGCTAATTAAGGCAATCTTGGAAAGCTCCAACGGGGAACTCCACTTACAGGAGTCCATATAAATGACACATTAGCAATGGTATTGACTATTGCGAGAGACGCGGATTTTTTCTCCTTCGTCTGTCCACAAGTGGACCCTACCCAGCCCAGGATAATCGAATTGACAGCATATGTGCCAATGGTAAATATTACCATTCCAGCATATCGCGCCCCTGTGTTCAGCGTAGCGCACGCGATTGCGAATCCGACTACCGCGATAGCCTTTGCGGCTGTTATATGCCATGTTCGCTCGTTGAATCTACCGGAGCTCATGGACCAGGGGACGGATATCAGTCCCGCGATTAAATATGGTGGACATGTTAAAATTAATGTTATAAGTCTGTTGAAACCGAGCGTCTGGACAACCGTGGGAAAGAAGTTCTTGAATCCATTTGCAGCAAGATGGAGGTGCTGCATCAGGGCAAAGATCCAGAGGCGATAGTCCTTAGCGGCTTCTTTGAGCCCGACCCAGGTTGTGGTTTGCGATTGGCGGTCAACAGTGTCGTTTGTAATGCGATTGTGTGCAAGTTCGCGTTCCTTCGGTGTGAGCCATCTGGTGCTTAAGGGGTCATCTGGGAGTGTGAACACCGATCCAAGGGCGACAACAAACGTGGCAATTCCTAGTAAAATAAAAAGCCACTGCCATCCCTTGATACTAGACCGCCCATCCATTCCTGCAAAAATTCCAGCAGCGATTAAGCCAGCAAATGCGGTGGCTAAAATATTGCCAGTGTAGAGTATGGAAATCCGGGTGGCTATCTCCTTACGTGTGTAGAAGATTGATAGCAGGTATAGAGCGCCAGGATAATACGGAGCTTCTAGGACACCAAGAAAGAAGCGCGTCAGCAAAAGACCTTTGAAATCCTTTGCTAAAGCTGTTAGACCGGAAGCGATAGCCCACAGAGCCATGAAGAAGGACAGGTAATATGACGGCTTAGCCCGTGTGAGATACATGTTAGATGGTATCTGCCCAATCAGGTACCCAACAAAAAGGATAGAAATGCATGTATTGTATTCTAAAAATAAGTGAGCCAAAGGCAGTGATCTGATGGGACGAGGAAGTATCGACTCTTACCGTTCCCCTTGAGGTGAAGATCCTGCTCGAGATCATCTACGCGGGCAAGGGCTGTTACGACAATGTAAGTTTGATTTCCACCAAGAATGATCCGGTGTCCATATCCCCCCCCCGTCCCCTTGAGGATGAGGCTGAGGATAAAAAAGCGTACCAATGGCGTTCCGATCGAGATAGTTAAGCCAGTACATAGCCCAAAGAGTTGGCTGAAATACGTTAGCAATTTCAGAGTGTAGCGAATAGCGAAGATATATGTGCATTACCATTATCCATCTATCTAGTTTCCTGACAAGATTGATTTCTTCCGGGCTTAATGTCATTCTTGCGCCAGAATAATCCATGTTGATGATTGACGATTCATCGAGAAGGGTATTATCGACAATACATTCTTGTTTCCGCGCAGGGGAAACTTTCTCACTGTCCTTGTCTTCCGCCATATTTTATTTTTTTCTTTTTACAGAGTATACTTTACTCTGTTACAGGAAAAGCCGCCTGTATATTATTCAACATCCGGCGGCACTCGCTCAAATGGATACGATGATGCCTGGTCCGTGTAGGTAAATTAAACAGATAAGCCAGGATGCCACCACTTACTTATGTTTAGCCATCTGGGCACTCTGTAAGTTATGAGCCCACTTGCCCGGAATAGGACACAAGAGATAGAACATGTTCCTAGACATGGCTGCCGGGAGCGTATTTAAGCTGCACGGCAGTGTAAATTGAAGTTGAGCCGTTGTTGGGTGCAACATCGGACTTGTGAGGTGTGATACGAAGCGTGGAGCTTGATTCGAAATACAATCAATGGTCAGAATTGAGTGTGGTTGTGTAATTGTTGACGGAAAACGATATTTGTAACACACAACAGTGGCACAACTGGAGGGATTGGTAATCCAGCGTTGCAACGGAAAGAAAAATAGAGGCGGGAAAGCGCATCCAAAGTAAATTACGTTTCAGATTTTATGAGCATAGCATAAAGCAAGTACCCGATGCAGGTAACCAGAAAATGAAATGCTCGAATTAATAAGTTGGTGATTGTCTGGTACCAGCCATGCGGGATAACGAGTGGTCGAAATCTCTGGAAGATTTTAAAGCTCAGAAAGTGCATGCCGAGTGTGTTTAGCTGATAGATGGTGTATATGATTTGAAAAACATATAGAAAAATTATTTGAGCGAACGGGTATGGAGATCCTTGAGGCATAATCGGTAGACTCCGAATCTATAAAATATTGAGCTTCAGCGCTGACGCGGAGACGAAGGCGAAAGCTGAGAGGACGTAGTCCGACAAGATATGGCGTTCATCCCTTCGTTCCAACCAGGTACATGTACTCTGTACATGTACTGTACATTCAGGGGTTTCCCTCCCGACTTGGCAGCAATTCCATGGCCATTACATCCGACTATAGAGCGAAGTTCTAACCAATTGGAGGAGCCAGTAGACATATTCCGCAAGCTCGGAAATTAGAATTTGGCCATCTTTGGCCCGTTGAACCTCATTGGAAATTCGTCTGAAACAGGCCACTGTGCGCGGTGGGAAGGCTACAGGTCATGCTACCAGTGCAGCGTATGAAGAGCTGCCGAAGATAGGAGAAACACAAAATTAATGTTGTCGTGGTCGTGGTATAGTTCCCATCAACACTTATGCCAAATGAGAGGGCTTGATAGGTTACGTGGGCGCATAAAAGTATGAACGGTCAGAGACTGCTGTCGCTCGATACTTATGCTCCGTGCCGGAACTTGGACGAATTGGCCAGATGCTTGTCCTGCTAACTTCACCGTACAATCTAGGAGGGAGAAAAGGTCTTGAGATCTGGCACTGACAGAAATTGTTCCGGGCTGGAGGAATAAGTTTAATTGGAGACGGGTTCAGAATTGGCGCCGAGACTGGAATGTTATCGGGGTCAAATGAGCGCATGTTGTAATCTACTGCGGATAAATCGCTGCAGCTGCCTATTCCGTGCACGATAGAATATCCTGATTATAGCGCCGGGAATGTTGTAGATAGAGAAGGGGGCTTCAGCCCCAAGTTATTTTAGATAATGTATTCGTCTGGTCCACCTTCGTTTTACGGTGTGCTGAGGCGGCTATCACTTTCATTCCTAGGCCGATGTGAAAGTTGGAATGGTGTAGACGAGTCGTCGTAATCAGCAGGCCGGGCGCGGTATCGATTTGATCCTTGCCAAAGGGCATAATAAAATGAGGCATTTGCAACAATGCTTGCGCAGACTATCTCAATGGATGCCCACTATAGTGTCGCCACAGATAGTATCTCCCCATTAGCACTGAATACAGTATACTCGTCAAGTTTCGGAGTTTTGGAGCATGTACCAGAGAACGTGTAGTTTGAGCCACTGAGTGACTTAATATCAGAGGCAGTCGCGTAATTGTTATTACAACAACCAATATGCCGACTAGGAACAATAGGGTTAACTGTAGCTTACTATACGAGGATTAGCAAGCGTGAATGATACTGGGTTCTTGACTAGGCCATGAGATCCAGTACATACGCCTGAAAGTCGAGAGATGTCATTCTCCAGAGCATTGGAATGGGGAAGAGAATCAAAGCAAGATCAGTTACGATGTTTAACGAGCCCATGGTGAGCAAATTAGACATTCCTTTCCGACACGGATCTAAATTGGCGTAGTATGATTAGCTTTCACTTGAAAACATTTATGAAAATAGGGCGTTAAATCACGATGATGCCCATCTAAAGTTCACTTACGATGCGAATATTTAGGATTCCAAAACCTACATAACAGCCATTTTATTAGTGGGGTGTAATTGATAACTGAGAGGGGGGATGTCTTACATGAACAATGGCTGACATTCAAGCAGTGTAGCCAGCAATGTAGCGAAGAAAGTTACCACGATAAAGGCCCGCAGGAACTGGAGAGAGTAATGGACTTTGTTGGACCCAGTTTCCAGCCTTTTATAAAACCGTAGCAAGCAAAGTTTCATGCACCAAAGACTGAAGAATGGCAAAAATATTAGGTGATGTCCATAAACTTTGAACTTTTTCTTCTGTCACTCGGATCTCGCGTAGATCTAAAGTAAATCTAATTTCGAACTAGATGAAGAGGAAATAACACCCACAAAAGAGCATAGAATACACGACCAACTAAGATGAGTTTTTGCGACAACACCTGGTCATCAATTGAAGGAGATAGCCGGAGACCAAACACTCTGATCATAGCAACAGTGCGGCATATTAGGGGCAGCAGTGCGAATGTCATCCAGCTATCATCGGGTCCCCATGATCGATTAGACGACTTGATCACGCCGCACTTTACAAGCAATCGGTAGCCACATCGAAATAAGATTTGGAGAGAGCTGAGTGCGGCACAAATGACGATCTGCGTGGCTTCTGAAGTCCATCTCATTGAAGTGCGGGAAAGGCGCGATAGGAAACAAGCAAGATTGATATCTGACTCTGCGCATTGCTTTGGGAAAATTCGAGCTCAGCATCCAACAACTCGAGAACGAATGAGTAATTGGAAGTTATGTGAAGTTGTTGCAAAATAGAGCTCATCTGAAGAAGGGAGAAGAGCTGGATTTTCAATAGCGAAAAATGCTGGAGCTTTGCATGTGGGGTTCTCCCTTGAGCAAGGTCCGCACAGGGTCTCCACATAAGCAGAGAAGAATTGCGCTTGGCCAATGGCTCGATGCCATGTTAAGAATAGTCCCTCTATACCCATGCTGAAAAGGGCGTGAGACGTCGTATTATTTGCCTATTTGTATTTATTCCTCTCAAGATCCCCGCCGCCCAGAAACGCGAATTCCGTTTGGGTTAAACAACCACAGATTGGACAGCTAGGGTTTCATTTCAACTCAAACGAGAGCGCCATGGAATGCATTTCAGGGGATCAAAACCCAATTTGCCTTCGACTTCCGCAAGAACACAACAGTACGGATGCACAAATTTTACTGTCGCAGTCTCAACCCCGAGCACAGAGCGTACGCATATCGCGAAGAACATCGGTGAGTTGTCATATACCCGCGGCTCCGCGGCTAGTCGACAGCGTTACCGAGCGCAGCCGACCAATGGCGCTAAGCCATAACTAGCATAAGCACCAAATCTTTACAAGGTGGGGAACCACGCGATTCCAAGGCCCCTGTCAACAACACTACAGGGCACGAAAGTCGATGGTATTTGATATTCAGAAAACGTGTTTTTACGCAGTATGCAGAAAATCAGGGGATGCAGCCCCCCAAAACACACAACCTCACACATATGGTGCAGGCCCAACAGTTCACGACCCATCTCCATGGTTCCGAATCTTAACGCAGGGACTAATAAAATTGCGAAGGAGTGAGACTCCATAGTGCTAACTACTCTTCTTCTCCAGACAGAATTATTTCGTGGCCTAACCCCTCATAAACCCAAAATGCCGCTGTGCATCCAAGACATGAGACAACCGCCACTAGCCACAATGCCAATCCCACCATAACTACCAATTTCGAGCCCCAGACCATACCATGACCATGCAAAAACTGGGCCAACTGTGCGGAATGCGGATGAAACCGACTGTCCAATAATGCCATGGACAGTACCCAGCACTAATAGATGCGACGAACAATTGTTTAGTAAAATGATGGATGCTGGGAGTGTCAAGGTCCGTGATAGGACCCTGACTCCTTTCACCGAATAGACGATTACCTCTTCAAGAAATTATGCAACCAAAACTGCACAAATAGTCATGAGAACGGTATTTAAAAGCATTGGGAGCGCAAAAAAAATACTTTTTCAACAACGTGACTCCAGCATTGTCTCCAAAAGTCAATTTTTCTCCAAAAAGTCGTGGGTAACTAGTGACAGGATCGGCCAGGAAATCGCCCATAACTACAAGGAAATGTATCATGAGTCTATGAGTCAGTTATGACAAAAGGATGCTTGCAATATGGCATGGGAAAATGTCTCACAGCCTTACCTGGCCCGGATAGGGAAGCAATATTAAATCCGATTGGTAGAATCGAAAAGGCTCTTGACTGGTAGTTTTTCTTCCTGATATTTTCCACTATCATGGTCCGGATAATTCCAACCATACCATTGATAGCTCCACCAAAGGAACGCCAGAACATGGCCTGGGTAAACGACGTCGAAAACGCAATACCCAGATAGGATACGCTCGTCCCTAGAAGCAGGACAAATTTCCGTTCACCCAATTTAGCATCGGCAGCATGACCCCAGGGAACAGCAGTAGCAAACTGAGCAGCCGTGAATGCGCCTTGAAGAAAACCGGCCTGAGTCGAGATTGTTGAATCGGATAGCGACGAGTCAAACGATTTGAGTTGAAGAACATGTAAGCTTGAAGAGAGGTGACCTAGAGAAAGTCGAACACCCGACATATCCCAAGTATTACCAGCTGGTCTTTTCGAGGAAGAGACATCCACGTCACATGCTGAGGCTTCACATTGCTCTCCAGCCTTTCTGCTGCGCCGAAGTGCAACGTCGACGACGACGATGGAATTCGCCTATGTTCGCGCTCTCCTCCTTCCATAATTGCTGGTTCCCATTCCTGTTGTGAATCCAAGTCAAAGCTCCCATTCCGGCTTCCAAGGTTGTTGATATGTAGCTCGAGGCCACTTGCAGAAGTCCCACGGGCCTTCGGTATGCGATGCTTATGCCTGTCAAAACCGAGGTCGTTCGATTATGAGTCCAGGCCATTGCTCAACGCCCCCCCTCAAGCCCCTAAAGTCGAACAGTTTCCAGATTATGGCGCGAGCGTAACATATAACTATCGAGATTCCAAAATCCGGCAACAACTTTCTCGATTATGTGTGCGTCTGCAAGACAGACCAAAAAACTGATTGGAAAATTGGAAACTATTCTGCTCGGATATATCGGGGGGGACAATAGATTTTCAAACCTTGCTGACGATCTGCAATCAATCCCACTTGGTTGATCTCTTGTTGTATTGAAATCTCAGGAAGATTTTGGAAGGCGAGAGATATGTAAGTGACATAGATTCTAGAGCATGAAATGTTTCTTGCTACAGCTGGAATGGCTAACTATCTAGATACAGTAAATACACATCCAACAACTGCAGAACGAGTAGCTGCGCTGTAATTATCACATCTCACAAGTTGGCCTACCCTGCCCTACCTAATGGAGTACATCAACATGTGCCCTTCGCCATACTTCACTGCCGTTCATAAAATACTGCAAATTCTTATACAGATTGTCTTCGGGTCCCTTCTCTATCCACTGGCGGCGGCATCATGGATAATCTTATTACATAGTATTTTCTGCTCGCTACCTTCCTTTCCGGGGTCTACATCTACCCTGTTCACGCCCAGCCCTGGACGGGGGAAAAAAATCTCTGGGAAGTATAACCTCAACTAACGCTCACCAGCTCCACAAAGTTCCATTACTTTTCCTCTTATGCATGGTGATGACGCCGAAGCGCAAGGGTCATGCACTGTACGTACTTGGGTAGTTGCAAACATCAGGGGTAAACGGGGGGAATTCGGAAAATAATCCTTTTCAGATCAACAAAGATTCTCCTACCTATGGAGCAGGTACATATGATCAGTACCACATGTATTGTACAGTTACATACATATGCATGTCGTGTGCCTGAGAAATACTACTTCAATCATGGATCTTTATGGGTGTTTCAATCCAAATACCCTCCATATAAAAATGCAGGAAAGGGACCAGAGTAAAATTTCGGTTGATCTTTTTACTCCATGCACTGACCATCACTTTGTTAACCATACTACATATATTCCTGCCCTCCTTTTCGAAACTGCTACGACCTGCTCGTTTGCCCAGCATGTTTAATTTTCTACCACCTTGCTTGAAGGATATTCTGGTGACCATCATGAGAGGAAGGTTAGCAACCAAAGGGGGAGAGAGATAATTTAAGGCATCTACCGGGGCCGCGCAAGTTGGACTCGTTCATACGATCAATACAGACTACATATGTAAGTTTGTGTTCGTCGATGAGTTGACAGCGCGGTTGGAGTCGAAAGTAAGTAGAATATAGCATTTTTATTGGGGGTATACCAGTCTTCGCTGTGCCCCTAGCAGCGGGATGTTGATCGTGGGCCTTGGCTCCATCTTATGTGTACAAAGTCAGGGATCAAAAAGGGAATTTATGTGCTTGACATCATAACTATGTAACTCATGTATCCTAAAAACTCTGAATACATGCATGTGTGAAAATTTTGTTGTTTCAAATCTAGACCTTTGTTAATTTTGATGCTGAGAGAAGATATTTGTCATAGATATATAGCTTTTCTATGCACAAACTGAGAAAAGTCAAATTAAAAGAGAATCTATACAGTAACTAGTTGGCCAAAAGGTGAAGATATGAGGAATACTCCTGAACATGTCTATATTCAAAGTAGAAATCAGAAACAAAGGGTGTTTTAGTGCCTAATGCGAAACAAGGAACCTGATGCGCAAGTCCGACCTTGCTTATCTCTTGGCGGTGTGGCGAGAGTCCGTCATATACCAAGAAACATGAATCACAGCTTAGCTTGGGGGATATAAAAACCAGAAATAAAAGAAAGGAAAAAGGAAAGCAAGGGAAAGGGAAGGAGAGGAGAGGAAGGAAAAGGCCATGCCCAAAATATCTCAATTAAAATGGACGAGTATGGGGAAAAGGAATGAATGCGAATAACTCAAGTCACGAAGTAGCGAACCGGCGCCTTTTGAGCTCTGAAGCATTCGCGAAAGAAACAAGTTTACGGAACCTATGGAATCAGCGGAAAAGCCGTTTACAGGTCATGGTAACGGCAAGGGAGGTGGCAATCATATAGAGGCGCACATGGCCACGGCCTGGGGACTAGCATTCATCATCTGCCTGCGATTCCACGCTCGGCACCGCTCAACAAACCCCTGCGTGATGCTTCCTCTGGGGAAGACAGCGTCTGGAATCTCTTCACCCAGGAACTCGCATAGCGGACCCAGCCTTCGCCGATTTTGTACTCCAGTAATCGCTGCTTCGGGACAAGACTGCGCACTTCCTCGACATGGTTCAGATAGACCTGTTTCCCCTTATTGGGGAAATCGCCCTTGAAGAAAGTGTCGAAGAATTTCTGAAGCATGGGGCGGTACATGCTGGCTGTCCAGCTGAAGTCGGAGACGAGTCTATGTTCCGGATCGGTGACGCGCTACCAGACGGTTTTCATGACGGAGTTGTGCCATGAATTAACGTCCCGAGTCGTGAGGATGACTTTGGCGTTTGGATATGCTTCGATTAACTCTTTGCAAAGGCTCACGCAGGCCAGTCGCAGACAGCCTGTTGTTGTTGAAGTACGTAAGTGTTTCTTGTCGATATCTTATATAGATACATGAATGCATCATTTCCGGAGCGTGCGAAGGAATCATACATGACAATGCCCCAGGAGTTGATTCCATTATTTTCACCCGAATTCGCCTACGGCATCATATTTGGCTGCTAGCGCATCCTACCACATCAGGCAATCTGAAGGGTTCTCAACGCTTGCGCTCATCATGTGGTATGTATCCACGTAGCCGAGGCGTTCCAGAGCGGCTCGAAAGGCTATATGAACATATCGTCAGCAGCAATTTGACCATTTTCTTTTATATGATTTCTTCCTTTGCCGTGAAATCGCAAATTGACATACATGCAGTACCAGTCCGCCCTACGCCAATGGTCAACACCTTCATGGGAACTGTCCGATGCCATTTCTGCCGCTCTATACAGGTATCTTCTGTAAAAATATCCGCTAATGTTTGAGGAGGGAGGGACTCTGCGGAAGTCATATCTAAACAGCAATAATTGAAAACAAGGAGTGTGATCCTACGATTTGTTAGATGATGCCAATGTAAAAAAAAGTAAAAATAAATAAAAAATAGACAGTGTAGAAGGAAATCTCGTGTTGAAATGAGTGTAGTCAAAATCGCCTTCAAGCAAAATATTGAGATGAAAAGATCGAGAGAAAAAAGTCGGGATGCCCATCTCTCATCAACTCGTATAGGTCATGAACCTAGAATTAGAAGAGCAGAGCGCTGATCCTTGATCTAAACTGTTACAAAAGCCCGAGCTTGAGCTGGCTCCGGTTTGTTATGGGGGACGGAAAAATATGGAGACGGAAAGGTATGATCGGCCGTGTATGTTTGTTATACGCCAATGGTGGGGATAACATGGGCACCAAACGTCTTCATAGAGTCTCATCTTTGGAAGGAGGAGCGAGGAGCGAGAACTTCGGATGTCCGCAGCACGTCGTCAAGGATGTAGCAGACGACTGACAGGAGATTGTAGTTTATGGTTCGGCGCTTCTGGCATCTTCCGAAATATTATCCTAATTTCTGTCCCGGTTGCTGCCAGCCATGCAACGGAAAACCTGCACTAATGAAAACTGACAGATTCAACCAGATGCACGCGTGGGAGTTATACTGGTGTGAAGATATGCGCAAGCTTTCCCATCTGGTTGCGTAACATAATTGCTGAAATGGAATGTTCTTGCAAGAGGCCTCTGATCAGCAGAAACTCTACCGTTTATACTGAAACCTACTTTTCCATTGACCTGGGGGTGTGTTTCAAAGTTTGGACCAATCCTGGCTTCAATCCCGGCTGTTTTCAGGCTTGGGTAAACAGAAACATAATCAATGACTCCAATTTATTAGTATTCGGCAATTCAAAGGGATCAAAATCATCCGCTCAGTATGTTGATGAAGTCAGTTACGTGGTTAAAATCTCACATGGTGTTCGACGCAATCATGGAGCCAGCAAGGGACCAAGCAAGAAGAAAACGTTGTTGTGGCGGCATGCGATAACCTCTTAGAAGCCGGGTTTCAACTGCAAAAGGATAGAGAAAAGAGACCGTCGCGAAAAGGTGAAATAAGAAACAACAACCTGAGGAGAATAGGCTCCTATGTCACATATCCGGGGTATTTCGAGGAGTAATGATGGGATTCAAGATGTGAAGTAAGTGTATAGTGCGGGCATTCTATGGCGGAGTCTTTTGAGAATTACATCAATGAAAGCAATTGAGGGAAAGGACATGCCGACGGGTAAGTGTATAGTCGTGCGTTCATTCAAGCTTATCCAAGTGCTCCAATCTTGTCAGCACAACCTGTTTGCTTGTTTCCTCAACCTCGCCAGCGAGAAACACCTCGTCGAGAATAGCATAAACCTGGATATATATCAATTTTTTTTAAAAAAAAAAAATTAGCATCCAAACCGATACACTGAACACAGCCCGATTTCGCAATTTCGCCCCCCCAAAAAAAAAAAAAAAAAAAAAAAAAAAAAAAAAAAAAAAAAAAAAAAAAAAAAAAAAAAAAAAGAAGGGGGAAAGAAAGAAAGAAAGAAAGAAAGAAAGAAAGAGAGAGAAAAGAATATTCGACATCATCCATAGCTCACGGAACGAAAGACGCACCTTATAGAAGTTGAAAACTAAATCAAGCTCACAAACATTGCCGAAAAACTGATCGAGGACCTCCACGAAAAAGTGTATGGCTTCCAAGTATGCCAATTCATTATCATTCGCATCGACACAGACGCAGAAGAATAGGCCCGCATATCGCCTATAAACGATCTTCGTGCTGCGACGGAACTCGACAAAGTTGGATTGATATTTTTGATCTCGAGGGGCAATGAGGCGGTGGACCTGTAGGATAACTCGGGCTTTAGATATAGGAAACGTTGCGCTGGATGTTCCGCATATATAGGAGGGAGATCTAGATGGAGGGGAATTCTTGGTGGCGGGAAACGGACCTCTCCCTTTAGTTTTACTTTCTCATCGTCCTAATACTTGTTAGCTATTAATTGCAACATATAAACCATGGCGGATAAGATGTCACTTACATTGTATGGGGCATACCATTTTGCCAGACGGGTCTTGCCTCTTGGCCACGTTAGCGAAGTTCACGCATTTGGAGAAGGGTCTACACACTGCCTGTTCTGGATAAGAATAAATGAAAGAACCATGCCGCATAAATATGGCCTGTTACCAAGCCTTTCATTGGCTAATGCTTCATGGAGGTGTATGTTTGCCGCATGAGATATTGCAGTACAATACTCCAAGCTGGTGGTTGAAGCTTATCTCACGTCATTCTGCCAAGTGCAACCGCCTTTCAGTAACTAGTTATTCGGAACAGCGGCGTTAATGTTATACCGGAAATAGACAGCATTGAATTGTCTAGAAGGAGATACGAGGAAACAGTTATTCTCTCAAAAAATTCCTGAAAGATGAAGTGATACCGTCCAAACTATACAAAAGAACCATTCTCCCCTGAAAATCTATTTTATAACTAAAATATTCAAGCATACCAAAAACCAATACGCTAAAATATTCCTCTGATTCGATAAGTGAGCATCTCATTTGCTATCAAAGATTCGCTGGCTCATCTTTCTGGATTTCGAAATATCCGCACTCTGCATAAGGTTGTCATCAGTCGCCCAGGCATTATCGCGGACATGTCTTGCCACTTAATGAAGCTTGACATCGTAGGAACGGGAATAGGACCATACCGTAGAATCGACAGGATCAGCAGTAGCAGCTTCGCTGTCACGACAACCCATCACATCATCCTCGCCGTCATCGACAGGAGAATCTTCGTCAGAATCCTCAAATGAACGCTCTGGATCTCCATTGTAAACAACGAACCAGCCAATCTCCGCATCAGGCGCGAGTTCATTTCTAAGTTTCCTAAATACTTCACTCCCAGCCGTTGACAAGCCCGGGTCCTGCTGTAGAATCTCCTGGACCCTTAATCCTAGCCCCGCACCGGATAAGGCCTCTGCGCCCATAGTCATGGTCTTTGCTGCGACGTATGCATATGGTTGGCTTACCGCGTCAGGGCTAAGGTCCTCAGGGTCGTACTGTTCAATAAGTTGGAGATTAGGGAGATGAGTGAGGATGTCAGGGTCAAGGAGCTTGAATGAATTGAGGACTGCTGCCGTTGTAGTCGGGTGCTGGAGGTACTCCGCAGCTGCGTCGAGAAGGTTGTAGAGGGCTATGTAAGCGCGTATACCTGGAGCTAAGGGGTTGGGCGCTCTGTGCCAACGGAAGCCATAAAGTATATAGGTGACCATTTTGGAGGAGGTAGGTAAAATACTGATGATGGACCTCGCTCGAATGGCCTTGACAGGAGATTAATTGAGATGTTAGTTAGAAGGATGGCCTGCATATCAACGGAGGAAGAGCTCTTGAGCCACGAGTGATTGCCATGTCACGGATGGTAGTCCCGTGTGTTTTAGGAATATTTATTGTCGAACATGTATGGTGTCTAAAAGACAAGCATATCTTATGGTGCAACATTCTGCGTGGAAGTCCAGTGATACCTAGGTAGTTAGGGTGAGGTCACATGAGCCCCTTGATGGCATCCATCCACAGCTATTGTCCCCTGAGCATTTTCCGCCTGTGATATAGATGTACAAAGATAATTGAACAATGTCTTTATATTTATAGGACATCCGCCACTATATCTACCCTTTGGCCATAGAAATTTCATCCACGGGCATCTACAATTATATAAAATTATATACATTATTCGCGGTAGCGTCCCATCCCTTAGTGGCCCTCTTAACGAAGGCTTGTTCTATGTATGCTTGTTTGATATTTCGTGGACAAGCGTCAGCACAATGCTTGATTCCAACGGAATCTTACGGCTTAGAAATCCATATACCCTTCCGGATAGATCTCTTGGATTGAAGCCATTGTTATCATCCTAACCATCGTCGTCATCGTGATTTCTTATCTTCAGCTCCACCGGTCATAATGGAGGAAGGACCGTTAACCATGACGACATCATCATCGTCCGAATCGGCCTCTCTTCTAGAGCACGGTCCACGTTTCTTCTGCTCAGAGTCCGTGATCCGCCTGTTCACCTCAACCAAATTTTCGTTCGATATGGTAGACAGCGGTTTTATCAGAGTATCGTGGAGAAAGGAACCAAAGCTGCTGGACCGCCTTCCACTGCCGCGGCTTTGGCTCCTGCTCCTGCTACTTGCATGGCTAGGGGGCATGCTCTTTAGTCGAGATAGATAAGAATCGCCATTAGGGCCCTCATGTACAAGCTTTTCCGATTCGAAATCCGGTAGGATTTCAGGTCCGAACGTGTCAATTACCTCAACAACTTGAGCAGCCAGCGCTTGACGCTCAGCTCGCAACTGAGCCAATGAAGTAGCTGATCTGGGCTTTAAAGCGACTAGTAGTGGTGGTAGAGACTTGAGCACGTCAGCGCCTATCTCGCCAATGCGTAGCCCGGCAAGGGAGACGAAAATCATGAGTCCGAAGAACAATATCGAAAAAAGCGACAACGGCATAATATCAGGGATATAATTCCTCGGATTAATCCACCAAGACACAGCAGAACAGTAATGCCCATCGTGGCGACAATAACGCAACCAAACCGTGGCTATAGCGGTATAAAAGGTGTACAAAGCCGGTGCTAGCACCATCGCCACAATAATCTTCCAACTTCCGACAACATCGCGTGCTTCTAGCTTAACAACGGAAACTGCTAGCGCTTTACGCTGTTTTCTGACAGACACGATCTTCGTAATGATGAAAACCGGCCAGAATAAAGCAATTGACGGTAGAGTTCCCACTGCCAGTGCGAGAAATTCACCGATACGCCGAAGCAGAGTGCCAAACACTACCCACCACGGCCGTTGCTCTACATCTCCCCACTCGACTTGGTGATCCCGAATACCTAATGCCTTCAGCCGATCATTGTAGTCTGATACAGCCTTTTTTAACTGAAGAACTTTAGGCTCGTCCTTAAACCGCGTATAGCCTTTAAGAAGGTTCCGGTTAAGTTCAACAACAACGGGTAAAGGGAGCTTCATTCGTAGAGGCCTATATAGTCTTCTCGTAGCTTGAATGGCCATAAGGGTGTCATGATCCGGAGCTAGTTGAGTGACAGCAGCAAGTGCGTCGTTAATTGTTTCCAGCAATGATCCCACAGCGTTACGTTTGAGCTGTCCTCCGGCCTTGAAAGCTTCAATTTGATCTGGGTGAACCTGAACGGGGTTACCAAACTCTATAACAGCACGGGACCGGAATTTATTTGGATGGAAGTAATTCATGCCACAGGGGATTATAGAGAGGCCGCAGTCAGGATCTCGTGCTAGAGTACCTAGGGCAATTATAGCCACGCCAGCTTTCAATGGAAGCAAATTAGGGCGGTCATGACTTCCTCCCTCGGGAAAGATGCCAACACAACCGCCGTTGCAAAGTTCGCGATACACTGAATCGAACATCTGGCTTTGGTCCACAAACGGCGCGACTTTAAACGGGGTCCCATTGCGCAATCCATCGTAGAGCGGGTGGTCCTTATCAAAATCTTTGAATGGTCTGCGGAGCCGCAGTTCTTGCGGCCCCAGGATTTCAGCAATTGCTTGCTGTTCGACATTCGTTCTCCCCACCCTAGGTAAAACAATTAAGCCCCCTTCCATGAACTCTCCGTTGGTGAAGTTCGTTCCTTTCCCGCGGACCAGAGTTGGGTCATTTTCCGGATGGGGCAGGCAAATCGTGCCCTCAGCAGGCTTGACAAGGTCCATTGCCCTGACCACAGATACAGCCCCCATAAGACGAGTCATCCTCCCAATGTATGGGTCGCGCATAGTTTTGTCCGCCGTGAGAAAAGATGTGCGGCGTCCAGCATAGCGTCTCATGTTGCGCATTAACACAGCGGAATCGACGAATTGGTTGGCATGCGGCGCGGCGACTATGATCACCGGGCCGCTCTTAGGGATCCGCCATGCTCCCCGGGAATAAATTTCACGGAAGAAAATATCTAGACAACACGCGAAAATCCATATCCCGAAGTCATAAACCCACGGGATCATATAACTCTGGGTCATGATGAATGAGCTAGGTATGCTGCCGTGTCACTTAGCCAGGAGAAGGGACAGCAAACTGCAACATTAGATGCGCACGGAAAATGCCATGATAGGGCGGGAGGTAGGCGAGACTTCTTGGTGGAAGGGTAGGGGTAACGTTAGCCCTCCCGGCTGCCCGATTTGTTGGGGATTCAACGACCTAGAATACTCCGGTTCCTTCATGAAAACCGTCCAAGGCAGGGGTGGCCAAGACTTCACTAGGTAGGGCTAGAACCCAGGTGTCCAATAATATTAATGAACCGTAGCAATCTGGTGGAGAAGCGAAAAAAAGTTGCGGCAAGGGCTTGACCTTGAACATCACCCGCAAAACCACAACAGTGGTACGGTACAGAGGCAAAGAGAAAGAGCCAATAAGAGTTCCAATTGCAAGATAACTAACCCCGAAGTTGTAAAAATAATCTATGAAAATAAGGGTAAAAATGGCTATGTTCTTAGACTGATGCTGCGCGTTTACTTATATCTAAATTGTTATTTTTGTCTTAGAACAGACGTTCATGAACTCGTTCCATAATTTGCTTTCCAAGCCTCATCAAAAGTTGCCTTGTCGACGGCAAACTCCCGAATGTAATCCCTTTCTAGATCATGGGTCTTTTTCCCGAGCAGAACCAAACAGTGCAAGGGTTTACCCATATCGACATCACATAGCTCTTTCAATGTCCCCACGGCAAGTTTCTGATCCGGCGCACCAACTCGCGCAGCGCCTATAGCAAGGCTAGTCGGACCATACACACACTCTTTCCTCTCTTCCTCTATTTCCAGCATCTGACTCGCACACTGCGCAACAGTCATGTATCTTGGTGGTTCATATATTTTCCTTCCGCGCGCCATATTCTCTATCGACTGCTCTTTAACTTTAATATCCAGGAGCATCAACGTGTGAAACCCTAGTTGAACGTTCTCTTTCACTCGGTCATAGAACGAAGATGGTTTCCATGTCTCTGTGAAAAATACCATACTGACGGTCTGACCGAAATTATAAAGTTGGAGACCCGTGCAGCCTATGGCGGACATAATCGAGGCATTTGGTACGGTTGACGTTTTGATGCCGAGTTCGCGGGCGCGCAAGACGAGGTCAGTGTGCGTTGTAGCTCTAATATTCGAAATAAGAATTGTTAGTCTCTCCATTGCTACCTTGAGATTTGCAAGAGTATTATTGAAGCGTGACTGTACCCAAATGGATCTCCGACTACCAGAAACGCGACATCTACTTTATTAGCATCTTGTAGTATATCATCACTGCCCGTCTCGACCAGTTCGCGATCTGCTACAATGACAGGGCGTCCATAGAACGCTTCCTACTGATCAGTCGCGGACGCGCATTAGTACGTTAACCATAGCTCTATTATATATATTTTTATCAAAACCATCACGCACTAGTTTTTCCTTATCCACCAGTAAGATACTCGTGTAAGCTTCAAGATACACTCGTTCGGCCTTCTTAACGATTTCCAGTCCCCGAACAGTGATATCTGTCTCATCCGCCAGACCGAGCCCGACCAGATACAACATGGCGAGGGCGCAGTGTAAGTGCACTGGGGATACGACGGGTGGTTGATGTCGCTGGAAAATACTTTGAATCAGAGTTGGTCTCTGCTGATTTTAATAATGAGTGCACAGTTCAAGTTGGGTTAGCGCAAATCTTGAAGTGGGGTCAAGCGTGCTGAGGTAATTCAGAGCCATGACGCCGACAATTGAGCCGCGGCCGACTTCATCCAACCACTATCCCTATCTAGTCCCTTCGCATGCTGTGTGTATCAGTTATCAGGACTAAGCCTGCGCAGTGTCGACGCACTGCTTCGTCATTACCTGCCTTATCCTACTATTCTTGCCTACCAACCTGTGAAGATGGCGGAGCGATCGCCCAAGTACCGCCAGGAGATCCAACAGGTAAGACTCTAAATCCCTTCTATTCTAGACGTCTTGGGAAGATTCGGTGAAAGGTCACATCTGGTCATCTGGGCATCTGGTCTCCTCCGTTGGTTTTTGATATGGAACCTCTTCTCCGGAAGCGCGTCCCCGCGACCCTCAAATCCCGAAGGAAGCTATCATCGTTAGAGAATCCCGTTTTGCGCACTGGGGAAGCCTGACGATAGGGTGACGAGATGGTATTGTAGGATGCATGGGAGCCATGGAAATTCCGTTTTGCTGGCTACTATATTCTCCGTGGCGGAAGTCAGTCTATCTTTCAATCGAGGAACGCTCTCCCCTATGCGATCGGAAGAAAATATGTCCAGGAAAGGCCGCGACGCTACCTATCTTTTGATCCGGTGTGAAGTTTTCGAGATTTTCCGGCCCTCGTCTAGTGATCTTTGCCATTGCCCATTTTACCTCCACCAAATGTGGATGATGGGGTAAATGGCAGCTTGCACTTTGGAAACATTTAGTGAAGTCGGATAGATCGATCTCAACATGCGATGAAAGATGTGCTACGAAATGAGTGCTATTCACTTCTCCGTAGCAACGATATCCCCTCAAAATCTTCGATATTTGTCTTCCGGAAAGATATATGCGCCATAACACTACCACTCTCGAACGCCTCAGAAGCTCTTGCGTTGCCTCAGGTCTATGGATCTTGTTCATCGACTTGCACCTTTTTAAACCCAGTTCATCTGTGGGATTGATCGGTTCTTCGCGATGGCTTTCACAGAGCGAAGGATAGGCGGTAAATTGTGGGTTGAGCGCTGGTCTGGTGAGGCTGCTGAGATTGTTTCCAAAGTCGTTTCTGGAGGCAGAGGCATAGAGTTTGACGCATTGCCTGATGACGAGAATGATGCAAACGCTTCCTTCCGATATTATTTCGATACAGTTGTGGACGAGGACGTTTACAGGGACTAGACCAACACCAGCACCAGAGCGAACACAGATTTCTTGGAGTGGTCATAGAAGCGTCCCTACTAACATCTTTGGCCAGATGATGTTTGTCTCCGGCGAGACGGCAGAACCATCAGCTGAAACGACGACTCTCATTGAAGAAATTGTACGACAACAGGTTATTGAAATGGTAGGTGCTCGTACACTGCTTCTTCTTTTGCATATTGAGCTCACCAATTTGAAGCTTAGTCGAAGCACTGCCCTTGCAGCGCGACGGGGCGTTCGATCTATTTCCACAGATGATCTCATTTTTCTAATTCGTCACGACAAGGCTAAGGTATCACGGCTGAAGACTTTTTTGTCATGGAAGGACGTCCGGAAAAACGTGAAGGACTCGGATGACAAAGGTGGTGGTGATGCAGCAGATTTTGGGGCCGGAGACGATCCCTTGGCTGGAGCTGGCGTTGCGGGTCCAACAGATGTTGCGGCGAAACCGAAAAACAAAAGGGCTAAAGTTGGTTTGCCCTGGGATCTCAACAACTTATATTCAGTCCAAGTTCCTGAACGTGAAGATGAAGAAGACGAAGAGGAGGAGGAGCAAAATTATGCCACCCTACAGCGACTCGCAAACGCAGACGAACGGACAAAAAACATGACGCGCGAGGAGTATGTTTTCTGGTCCGATTGTCGACAGGCCTCCTTTACATTTCGCAAAGCCAAAAGATTTCGAGAATGGGCAGGTTTTGGAATCGTGACGGACTTTAGACCCAACGATGACATCGTCGACATTCTTGGCTTCCTCACTTTTGAAATTGTGCAAACCTTGACGGAAGAGGCTTTGAAGGTCAAGGAGCAGGAAGACCGGGGTAGGAAAGGCCGTGGAGCTTCGGATGACGGTGAGAAGACGAAGAAGCGAAAACGAGAGACGGGTCTCTTCGACCCTCCTGAGGAGGGGAGGACACCCATAGAGCCAAGACACATTCATGAGGCGTACCGCAAGCTTCAAGCGATTCCAAACAAGTCTATCGCGGTGTTGTTGCGAGGAGGACGTGCCCCTATGCGCACCCCTTTGCGACTTGTACGTTACTCATTTCACTTTTGACGCTGATGTTAATTGCTGATCGTTGAACTCCATGCTAACCCTTGCCCTGTGTAATAGATTTGAAATCCTCGTCCAAATTTGTACGATATCGAAGAGGTCTTTCTTATTTTAACGTACTACGTAGGAGCTGTTTTTTTTTTTTCTTTTCTTTTCTTTTTTTTTTTTTTTTTTGAGTCCCTGGTTATTTTTAATTTTCTTGGAGTTCTCAGGATGTGGCAAATATACCCCGGATTGGGATCTCTTTGGCTTGTTTTGAGATGTAACTTTCACATGTGGTGTTGGTGTCACCATCGTTATATTCAGCGGATAGGTTTACCTATCTTTCTTACAAACTCTTGTGGCTTACACCGTCTATTCCCGTCTGTCCGCAAGACCATCCTTTCTTTGGAACTAGATTTGATGTGCGAAGGATCTAGGAGTTTATTGGACTGAACGTTTGGACTAAAACGCCCTTTGATTGCAACCACCCATCGCTTATTTATAGATGGAAAAGAACTATGGATAGCTAGCAAAAAGTCTATATCTATAGTAAAACCCCTATTTCATTTTTAACCCGTTGGAGGTGTAAATATTAGACAGAACTGCCTGGATCTCCCGCAAAAATTTCGATACCTCTGCTTCCGTCCCAACAGTGATCCTTAGACATCCGGTACAGCCATACTCATTCCCTCGAAACCGGACAACAACGCCTTTCGCCTCCGCAAGAGCCTTGTACACTGCTATCGCTACATCATTGCAAGGTTTCCCTCCCTGTTCCGCTGGCATGTCAAGAACCTCAACGAGCAGGAAATTCGACTCCGCGCCGCCCAGAAACTTTCCAATTCCAGGAACTTTAGGCAGCTCCGCAAGTATCCGTTCCCGCTGTACCAGTATCTTCTCCTTGTTCTTATTCATGAGCGCAAGATTCTTCGGTGTTAGCGCAGCCTTTGCCAACGCACTGGTAGGGCTGGAGATGTTATACGGGGCCTTCAAACTATTCAGCAACCTCGCGATTTCAGGGCTCGTAAACCCCACACCCAGTCTGATGCCCGCAAGTCCGAATGCTTTGCTTAACGTCTGCATTACAACCAGGTTTGGCCACTCCATCACCCACTCTGCGAGACTTGAGCCCTCAGGCGCAAAGTCGATGTAGGCTTCGTCAACCACCACCACGCCATTCCATGTCGGGTGTTCGAGGACCTTCTGGATATCGTCTTTGCGAATTAGACTTGCCGTGGGATTGCCGGGGGAGCAGATGTAGACTAATTTTATGGAAGAAGTCGAGGATAGCACTTCGTTGATGGCGTCGGGGCGGAGATAAAAATTGTTGGCTGTGTCAAGGGGGACTTTGACGATGCTGATGTCGTTTACTTGCGCACTGACTGAATACATGCCGTATGTGGGGGGGCAGGTGAGGATCTGGTCATGACCTGGTTTGCAGAAACAGCGGAGAAGGGCATCGATAACTTCATCTGAGCCAACGCCGACGAAAAGCCTGTCTGGCGTCAATGTCTTTTGAGTATGAACGTGTGTGTTTCGTAGATTGCAAAGGAGCTGCTTGAGTTCGATTTGATGACTATTTGAAAAGGCAAAAAATAAAAAATGTCAGAATTACAGAAGCATTTTGAAATATTGGCCTGGATTGGGAAGAGATCATATGCTCACGGATCTGGATATCGGTTCAAGCCCAAGAAGTCGATATCTGGAGAAGATGCATTCTCGCTATTTGTCACCGATTTCTCCGACCATCCCTCCTGTATCCTTCCATCAGGAGTTAAGACGAGGCCTGGACCATAGGCGTTTTCATTCGCATCTAGCAAGATATTCGTCCCATCGTCTTTGTAGTCACTGTCATTCGTAGGTCAACTTTCACGAGCTAGATCTGCAGGACAAAGGGTGAAAAGCCTACTCTCTGGCGCAACGATACGGCTGCAATTGAAGAATATTGGGTCTCGCGCATTTCGAGAGGTCGAAAGGGAGATTCTTGACTGCCATGGTTGGCGCTGGCGACGCGTTAGAGAGTGAGGAGGGGGGAATTTTTGAAGTTGCTCCTGTTGTGCATCTAATTGACTATTCCGTTATCAGGAGTGGCGGGGCAAGATCGATGACTCGACGCGGCGCATAGTACGGAGTGTAAGTCACAAACTCTATTTTATGTATTATTATTATGTAGTGGAAAAGGAAGAGGTATTTATTTTATCACTTGAGTCAATTGCTATACTACATCTATCCTGATAGATTTCTATTGTATTTTATCCCACTTTATTCAACGCCAAAGCCTTCGAGTATGCACAGTACGGGCAGTATTAATAATAATATGTAGAAGGGTACACAGTTCCCCAAAAGAAAATATGTCCAAGGAAGTTCACTCCTTTTTAGAACCGCTAGGTGCGTCTTCTTTCGTCTCCTGCTTAGCGGAAGCGTACTTCTGTTGTTTCTCTCTTACATACCGCCATCCTTTTCCAAGGCCAGCGGTGAATAGGCTCTTTACGCTCTGGCTCATACTCGGCCACGCTATTGTCTTCCTGATCGATTTAGTTGCTTCGTCTTTGAGATGTTCGTCGGCAGCAATTCTTTGCTCGAATGTGCCTCCTACTCGACGATGAACTCGTTCCGGGTCTTCGTCGTTATTTTTCTCCATCATGTTATCAAATTCCACTCTCGGAATTTGGTATCTTGACTGGAATTGGAAGTAAAGCTTCTCGCGGAAGGACTGGGGTAGTCTCCGAACCATATTTCCTCGTTTTAACGGATCCATATCTTGGGCTAGCCGAGCGTCGACCTCTGGGTTATCTACCCAATCTAGGCTGCTGCATTGCGGGTCATTGAAAGCAACATTTGGCAATGTTTCGATCAAGGGTGCGTATAGACGGCGAAAATTGGTCATCTGCGAGGATACAATGTTGTTAACCTTACGCGGATCCTCTGTGGCAAAAGACATCCGAGGGTCGCCCATATAACTAATGCCAGCGATAGTGCTATACAGCTGTTGCTCGGTAAATGTCGGTGGTAGTAATAGCAATGCCACGCGGACGGCTGAAAGAAGGTTCACTTGGTTCGCAAGACGGACTTTCGGGTGGTCCCTAAGGATTTTCACCGGCTTCTGAAGTCGTCCCGCAAGGTAAAGTGAGTCCCAGTCACTAAGATCTTTACAAAGTGTGTCAATATTAACAACCCCATATTTTATAAGGGTTCCATTCACGGTGACATAGGGATTGAAGTAAACGCCGGCTCCCCATCTTTCCTGGATCTGGGAAACAATATATGAGCCTAGCGATCCTAGACCAGAATAGTGGTCACGATGTTGGTTCAAGTTGAGCGCGTGCCAATGTTGGCTGTAAGAGACCCCAAATATAAAATCAATCATCTTTCCACTGTTCCCCTGGCCTGTTTGAATGGCTTGTGGAGCGGCCGGATGGGAACTTTCGGCTGGAAAGGCAGATCTGTTAGACTGCGGAAATACACCTGAACCGTAGGCGAACGCATATCGGATTGGAGCTTTGAATTGCCACAAAATCTGTCGTAGGGCCTCTTTAAACTCCTCATTGATAATCATGTGTTGATTCACTCCAAAGTTTTTTGAAGGTAGCTCCGAAAATGTCGAGATGGTGAAGTCCGGATTGTCGTACCACTGCGTGCCTGACTCGGATGATGGAATCGATTGTCCGGAGTTTGATGCGGCCGGAGAAGCATCCGATCGAGAATTTACATTTTTATGGCCGGCAATATTGAATCCAGGAGGAGGCCCGCTATCCCGATGCTGCGGGCCAGGAGATGGCTCGGTGGAGAGGAGCCGGTAACATCTGGGGCTGTTCTTGGGAAAAGACGGAAGAGGTGGGATGAAGATGTGAAGATGAGACGACGCCGCTAGTCGTGACCGTATCGGGGAGAACTAATAATGAGCAGTTGAAGAGTTAGTTTTTGTAATATTAACAATTCTAAAGGTGTTCTGGTGGGGGACTGGTTTGTACCGGAAGATGGGATGTGGCCATGTTGGAGGGACTATGGGGGACAGCAGAAGCTGCAACAGGTCAAGCTAAGAGGTACCATGGGTCTTCAAACAACTTCACCAAGCCCTGGTTGATACAACAAGGGGAATATAAAAACTGCCAAAGAGGGCTGTGATACGATTTCGTCCATGAAGGAGAACGGGAAACCGGCGGACTAAAATGCCTCTGGGTTTCGGCCGACGTCAACGCTCGCTGATATAATCAAGCGGGTCACATGACCAGTCGTCATCACCTGACCAGACCGCGTCGGCGCGACAAAACAACATCCCAAACAAATCATTGAGCAGGTGAGTAAACAAACCAGCTCCTATATATATATATTGCGGCCCCAACATCGCCATTTACAAACTCTAGATAGATCAATCTCGAATATAATTGAATACCCCCATGTTTACCTAATTGAAAGGCAAATAAATTTCGCTATGATTGCAATCGGCATGGAGACTGTCGCTGCCCGGCTTGCCACCTTTTATTCTTCTGCACCAAAAGGTAAAAGAACATCAAATACAAAGGCTACAACGCACATTAGCTGGCCTCATGATAGACCATCGCCTGAAGAGGTGTGTATTAACGGCAATTTATGTTCCACAATGATCCCCTTGCGTCCCAATTAACTGACACCCAAATTCCAGCTTGCACATGCCGGATTTTACTTTAAGCCCACTCCTCTTAGCCCGGATAATGCTGCTTGTTTCCTTTGCGAGAGAGCCCTAGATGGTTGGGAAGAGGACGACGACCCGGTTACTGAGCACCTGAGACACTCGAGCGAATGTGGATGGGCAATTATGATGGATATTGTACGCCGATCTTCGAACCCAGCAGAAATAGAAGACCCTACAAACGCCAGAATCGCCGAGGCAAGGAGAGCAACTTTTGCGTCTATGTGGCCTCACGATGGGAAAAGGGGTTGGGTATGCAAAACGGAAAAGGTGAGCACCTACCTAGAGCGGGACTTTGGGTTTGTAGTTGCTAACAAGGTTTTGTTCCCACAGATGGTCGAAGCAGGCTGGTATTACTGCGCCCATGAAGAGAGTGAGGATTTTGTAAGCTGCGCTTATTGCAATCTGTCACTGGATGGCTGGGAGCCAAAAGATGATCCTTTGTGAGCAAATCATGACCTGACTGCACATGCCTTGATTGGCTAACGATGGAATAGTGAGGAGCATTATCGCAGATCTTCAGATTGTTCATTTTTTCATTTTGCACTGAATAATCCGGCAAAACCAACCCGTGGAAAGAAGACTCGATCATCAAAAGCATCGCGCCTATCAACACAATCCGTCGCTACAACCGTATCTGAAGCTCCTGAGGCTGATTTTGATGACGAAATGGATCACAGCACCCTGTCCAATTCAACCAATAGAACGTCAAAAACGACAAGAAAGACAACGAAATCGAAAGGGAAGAAAGCAAAGTCCAAGAAGGGAGATCCGGTTGAAGTAAGTAGCCAAGTAGATATCGAGAGTAACAATGGTGATGTCCCAGAAACATCCCGGCCGAAGAGAACAACAAGGGGGAGAAAGAGAAATAGTGAGGCAATGAACGGTGACGATGTGCAAAATGAAAAGGGCGATGTGGTTGGATCAGCACCACCTGCTAAACGACGGGCGGCGAGGTCGGAAAATACTGCGGCGAATCGTGCTGCGGAATTGGCACTCGCCGATGACCAGCCTGTGCATGTGGAGGAACAACCCCCACGAAAACCACAAAAATCGAAGCGAGCTTCTTCAACGACACGGAAACAATCTACAGCTTCCAAAGCCTCCTTAAGATCAAGGATTCCCGATGATGACGAGATTGACGCCCAATTAGAGGCGGACCTCGCCGCGGACATCGAAGCTGATGCAAGAGCAGTATCTGAGCAATATCAAGCGCACGAACTCCCCGCGAGGACGAGGTATGTTTCAACCGTATCAGTTGCGAACGCTCAGCCGCCGGCACCGACAGTTATTAGCACAAGCGATCTTGAAGAGGAGCCGAATACTCATACCCAGAAAGCTCAACGAAAAAGGAATGTGGGCAAGAAGAAGCTCGCATCAAAGAAAAGTTCTAGCGTTCACAGTGAACAAGAACCTGCCAAGGTAGCGATTGATGAAGCTGAGAGTGTTAAACCCAACCCTGGAGCGGAGATCATAGACGGTGGCGTAGACGAGAAGATGGGAAACAATTTGGAGATGAAAGATGCAGTTATTCCTAAAGGTCAGGAGGACGAGCCCCTTGGAAACTCCCAGCCGAAACCTCCCCGTAGAAAACCTGGACGACCGAAGGGCTCTACCGGCAATTCGAAGAAGTCAAAGCAGCAACCGCCAAATGAGATTGGAGTTCCGGAGGAGGCTGCTCCTACCCCATCCGATCTCCACACATCGCCAATCCAGAACAAAATAAGGACTGCTGCTCACAGTAAAGAGCTTAAGATGACGAGTACAAGCTCCAGTGACAAAGAAACAAAGGTAGACCCAGAAATCCAAAAGTCGACCAATCTACCGCGGAAGGTTGCCTTTAGAGCATCTGGAAATATTGATACTTCATCAAAATGGAATGGTGCCCGGCAACGCTTGAATAGCCCAGGAATGTTTGAGCGCGCATCAGACCGGATAGTGCAGGCTTCACACAATCCAATATCGCCTAATGCACGAGTCCATGAGTCCACGCCGTCGCCATCACCACAATCGTCTGACGCAGAAAACCGGCCACCATCAAGCCGACCATCTAATACCCGACCCACCTCATCTTCTGCTTCCAAGCCTCACACAGCTTTTGTTGTGCCCCTTGCAACAAGCACACCTGCCACTTCACCATCAAAAATACATGCCCATTCTGGTCAGCTAATGACTTCCCACCCATGGAGTCCCGTTGATCCAGAAGAGATTTTCCTCCCAGATTCGATGAGTAAAGAGAATGTGAATATCAATGATATACTTCACGCTGTTAAAGGGGACCTGACAAGTCTAGAGAAAAATATGACCGTGGAAGAATGGATTATGTGGAATGCGAAGAATGGGGAAACTAAGTTGAGAAGCGAATGTGAACGATTGGTTGGCATTTTTGAGAGAGAAGGGGGGAAAGCCATGATGGCCCTTGAAGGGATCGAATGTACTGAATGAGTTCAATGATAATCAATTCGACGTTTTTCGGGGCTTATTGGTTGGCGGAAATGCTGTGCGAATTGCTGTCATACACCGCGTTTTGTTTTCAGTTCATTTCCAAGCAGAGCGTCATAGAGCTTTATTTGTTCTTTTATTTTCCCCTCCTTTTACCTCGGGACAAATGTCTCTATACATAGCACGGAAAGATAGGCAACCATAACGCCGGGGTATATAATAAGTGCGTTCAAGAAATCCCAGTCCTAGAAGGTGAAAAAGATACATACTTTCATCACTCCATATTTACGAAATAATTCCGAGCCTCCCCTCCCAGCTATCCTCCTGTTTCACTCCCCCTTTTCTCCGCTTCTCATTTCTTTTCCTTCGCTGCTCCTCCCTCTCCCTCGCCTCTTCCTCCTCCCTCGTCTTCAACCTCTCCCCAAGATCCAGCTGGCCCGCCTTCCGCTCCTCCTCCTCCTGCACCCTCCTTTTATGCGACAGCCACCTCAGCCTCTGCCGCACGTCTTCCAAAGTAGCTACAACGACCTCCCCGCTCTGACCCGTCGCAATCAAGTGCTGCTTGCTATTCAAATGCTCGACAAATTGGATATTATCTTTGTAGGTCAGGTTACACTCGGGGCAATAGAACCCTGCCCCGCGGCCTCTTTTGCCGACAGCGGACCCTGCGGGGATAATGGTGGTCTTGCCAACCATTGACGCGACATTTAGTCGCTCAGATCGGGAGCTTGTGGCTTCGAGAGTGCTAAAGTCGACGGGCGCATGGTATTTCTTGCCAGCTAGTTTCGCCTCGTAGCGTGCTTTGGACTCTACTTTCGACTTGGCTTCTTCGGCAGCAGCCTTTCTGGAATATTCTTCCCGATCCCATGTTTTGCGGAAGGAAGTGTCTGAGGAAGGCGTTCCGTATGCGGACGCTCTCTTGGGAGGGTCAGACATGCTGTGGCAATTAAAAGGGAGCTGGAAGCTAAGGCTGGGTATGCTTCTGGAATAGTGATTATTTGGTTTTTCAGGCCTCAATAGGCACCTATGATTTTGGAGGCCCTTTGAATTTCAACAAATATTTCAGGATGGTAGTGATTTCTGTAGATCTTGTTGAGGTATGATGATGATGTATCGAGCCCGTGCAGATTTGTTAGAAGCTATCCATGGATCAAATCAACAATCACGTGATTTTGTTCTTCGCCCTTTGGTTTTCAACCACCAATGAGGCTTAGAACTTAGGGGTAAAGCCTCGCGCAAAAAAGCTTTAACCAAGCCACTACTCGTATATAATATGAGTTCTTAGCGATGACAGGGAGCCCTAGAAGCCCCAGTCGAAATATCCCTGCGTGGTAACCTGCCCTTTTGATGAGGTGGGTGCGAATGACCCTTATGCCATTTACGTATCAACCTCCCGATATCAACGCCAGCTGTCCGCAATATGATAACACCGCTAAATCCGGTCCATAATTCTGCAGGCTGAAGACCTGCCTGGTCCCATTGTACTACGAAGCTTCTAATTGGAGTGCCTAATTTGGGTTCCCAAGCCAGCCGTTGACAAAGCCACGATGCATCAATGACAGGCAGCAAAATATCCAGCCTATGCAGGATATAAGCTATCCAGTGTTCGCAATTTACAATTCATGTTTTAATTTCAAGAATTCGAAACCCCTAGCTGTACGGAGAGTATCGCCCGTACCTGATATTATTACCTGAAAATGATTCACCACATGAACGAAATGTCGTCCTCAACGAGATCGCCTTTCATGGATCTACCAACTGAACTTCATGCACATATCGCATCATATCTATCCTACCCGGACGCATTGGCACTAAAACATACAAACAGATACTTCTACGCTCTTGTTCAAACAGGCCTTGTGCTTAAAGTCAACTGGATACTTGAGCGTTGTCGGCTCAAACTTCGGGTCCCATTCAAGAGTTGCGAGCTTCGCACAGATCAGACATTTTGCAATGCGGAGATTCGAGAGATTATGGAGAAACGACGGCGACATCAGGAATGTAAACCAGGCTCCAGGGGGTGCTTGGTTGTGGAGGGCTCGAGCTGTGGTGGACGGACTCCTTTCTGGTTACTGGGCAGTCGCGAACTTTTCTGGGGGCGAAAGGAAGTTAAGCTCGATTATTTTGGTGAGATTCCTCCGTTTTCATGGCCAGGACCGATGCTAATCTTTAAAACAGCTTTGATCATTGGAATTCTTGTTTGCTTGATCGCCATAATATGTGTTCCGGTATCGAGGTACGGATTAGGCTTTTCTGGACTGAATCAGCATTCCGGCTTTCTGTGCTAAGAAATTCTAGGTTTTCCACTGGGAATTGATATTGGCTCGCGATCAATTCTACTGCACTGTCATACCATATATATCCGTATTGTTCCAGTTATCATCAAAATTCGGCATGGCTGCATAATAATTTCATTTAGATCCTTACGCTGCGTTTAAAGTTTTTCAGTTTACTATAATACCCCTATAATTGAAGCCAAGTGATACCACTCTTATTTATCCTTTTTGATCTGGTGGATTTGCCGTTTTAATTGAAAATTTTGTCCTAGTTGTCGAGAAGTCATCGTTCGCCATACGGCGGTCCAAGAGTTGGCGGTTCTTATCCTACTCGAAAAAGCATCATTCATCCAGTGGATAAATATGCTTTTTATTCCACCTAGGGAGCAGGAACCAAAAAAGGGCGGTTGCCTGAATATATCGGTATCGAAGTTTCGAATTTTCAAACCGGAAAGTTTGGATTTAGAGGACCTGTTATGCCGAAAATTGTGAAGGCCGGACTGGAAGGTTGTGCCAAGATCTCGAACAACCAGATTCGCGGTCCGAGGTATTCTCACTTCACAACGGACGACGGGGCCCGAGATCGACCTGACTGACCGTATTTTGTACGACTTACAAACATTCTGATATTGATTATTAAAAACCTATGGCGCCTCATCCTCTTCTGTCTTTTGGAAATTTATGACATTTACAAATCGCGCAACTCAGTTCGCTCTAGAACAATGCCAGCTGCCCAAGAAGCCGAAAAGCTGTGGGTTTCTCCGCATGCGGGCAAGTACCCCATTGACGATTATCGACGGCATGCCAATAGGAAGTTCTCCCTCAACTTGACGGACAACCACGAGCTACAACGCTGGAGCGTGACAAGGCCGCACGACTTTTGGATCGACTTATACAAATACATCGGTATTATTCCAGAGCTTCCGCCGCATATTACCCGTGCCTTCGACAATTCTTTGCCTCTGAGCGCCGTGCCAAGGTTTTTTGAGGGGGTTAACTTGAACTATACGGAAAATGTTTTCTCTGGGAAAGATCCTAATGCAGTGGCCCTCATTGGTCTGCGAGAAGGAGATGGCCTGGACGGGGAGGTTGTGACATGGGCGCAATTGAAAGAGAGGGTGAGAGTTGTCAGAAGTGCGTTGATTCGAAATGGCATCAAAGAAGGCGATCGCGTTGGTGCCTTGGTGTCTACGTCAATCTGGGCTGTCGTCCTCCTCCTTGCGTCAGCGTCTATGGGTGCAATTTATTCTTCGATTTCTCCTGATATGGGTGTAGAAGTATGGTTTTACTACATACATTGCATTTTTTTTATAGCAACGGGTTCTGACTTTGTGATTTAGGGATGCGTGACACGGCTACAGCAAATACAGCCAGCCGTAGTTTTTGCCGATAGTGATATGACTTACAAGGGAAAGAAGAGTTCTCTGGATTCAAAAATGGAAGCAATCATGGATAAATTATCCAAGTTCACGAAGATCTTTGTCATTCCGACTACGACTCAAAGCCGACCCAAATTTCCGTTGATCGCGGAGTTTCTTTCCAAAGGGTTCGACTCCGATGCTCTGGAGTACACTCGTGTCCCGTTTTCCCACCCCCTTTATATCTTGTACTCGAGTGGTACTTCTGGACCTCCGAAGTGTTTAGTTCATCAACATGGTGTTATTCTCCAGCTGAAAAAGATTTCGTTGCTGCACAACTCCCTTGGCCCAAAAGATATTGTCTTTCAATATTCGAGTACCTCCTGGGTCCTTTTCAATATCATGAACGGACATCTTGCAGTTGGTGCCACCACAATCTGTTACGATGGATCTCCCCTCTGGCCGGACGCTACAGCCACGCTTAAGATACTCGAGAGATTTAGGTGTGCTCATCCTGTTCCACGTCTAAGTAATAACATTCAATGGCCAACAATGTGCTGCCAGGGTGACATATTGGGGAACTTCTCCGCGATATCTCCTCGAACTTGAGGCTTCCAAGCTCGTTCCTCGGGATTCGTATGATCTCAGCGCCCTCAAGATGGTCACCACAACAGGCGCAACACTCACGGCGGACCAATACCGATGGTTTTACCGAGCATTTCCTTACATACACCTGAGTAGTGTGGCAGGAGGGACAGATATCGCCTCGTCATGTACGTTTAATCCCCAAAATCTATCTACTATTGTATTAACTGGCGAATTGTAGGGCTGGCATCTGACCCCTCCAGCCCCGTACATGCCGGAGAGATGCAAATTTTTGCTCTGGGAATGGATGTGGATGTCGCAGACCCTATGACGGGAGAGTCGATAAAACATGTGCGTATAGGAGCATTATCTACTCATTATAAGATCCCAGCTAATGGCGGCAATAGACCGGCGAGTCAGGAGAATTGATTTGCCGCACCCCCTTCCCGTCAATGCCAGTGTATTTCTGGGGGGACAAGGACAACAAAAAATATATATCTTCCTATTTCGAACGATTTGATAATATTTGTGTCTGGGCCCAGCATGATTGGATTAGCGTTAACCCAGCCACTGGAGGATCCGTCATTCATGGACGAAGGTGCGAAAGAGTTGCAATCCCAAGAACCCTTGTCTCTGCTCCAGACCTCAGTTTTCTATCTGAGTGAGCCCGCCACCATTTAATTAACCCAACTAAATATCTTCGAATAGTGACGGCGTCTTAAACCCCTCCGGTATCAGATTCGGTAGCGCAGAAATCTACACAATATCCGAAGGACCTAAATTCAACTCCGAAATAGAAGATACGCTGTGCATCGGCCGCCGGCGCGGACAAGACAAGGACGAAGTCGTATTCCTTTTTGTCAAGATGCGGAACAACAAACCCTTCACTTCTGCCCTTGAACAACGCCTCCGGGCTGAAATCCGCTCTGGCCTTTCTCCACTCCACGTTCCGAAATTTATTATTGAAACACCGGAGATCCCTGTGACGATCAATGGGAAAAAGGTTGAGATTGCCGTTAAGCGGATCATTAGTGGTGATACGGTCTAGGTTAGCTCGACCGTTGCGAACCCTCAAAGTTTGAAGTACTTTGAGCAGTTCGTTCATATAGAGGCGCGACCAAGAGCAAGGCTGTGACCAGGGATTTTGCCAGGTGTTGGGCTATTTTGTAAGATGGAGCTGCAGCTTCCATATAGGCTATTTCAATGAAAAATATTCCTCTCAGGGAGCGTCCATTTGATATATAGAAACACACGAAACGCAAACTAGCTTACTTGAGGGCGTAACGCCAGTGTCAGCCTAGACTCGCTTAGCTCCGTGCTCATCCTCCATAAATACGGTATATAGATCCCCAGAATAGCTCCCCCGCTTCCCCACAGATGCTTTGAGTTGTTCAACCCCACTTCCCCATAACCCCCAAACGGCAGCAGCCGAGGGAGGTAAACGGTAGAAGCAGGAGGGGTGCAAAGTGACCCTTTATACGAGGGCGTTGTTAAATATGATTCTTTTATTCCCGAAAGATCTTGTAATCAAGCCTTGCCTCTGAAAAACGATACCAAGTCCCTGTCATCTTGAACCTCAAACTGCCCTCTTTTTGCTAACGATGCCTACGCTCATTGAACAGAACGCTTCATGGAAAGAAAAGAGCAACGCCAAGAAGGCTTCAGTCCTCAATGATGTTCCAAGCCAGTTCCTACACCCTGAACTGTGTTTCTCTGACTATGATCCGAATCCAGTCTTCGACATACCAGCGTCACTTCTATCCGCCAAAGAACTGGAAATAACCGCTTTAGATGCCACTGAGCTCGTAAAAGCAATAGCTAAGGGAACTTATACAGCAGTCCGGGTTCTAGATGCATTCACCCACCGAGCAGTAATTGCACACAGGTTGTTAAATTGTTGTCTTGAATTCAGATACCAAGATGCTCGTGCGGAAGCAGAGCAGTTAGATCATTACCTGCGAGAAAGCGGAAAGACTAAAGGGCCCTTGCACGGTTTGCCAATATCCGTCAAGGACCAGTGTCGGATTATCGGAACGGAGACCACATGTGGGTTTGTTTCCCAGATTGGGGTGATAGATTCTGAGAATAGCACCCTGGTCGACGTTTTGGCCGATGCAGGAGCTGTGATCTTCGTGAAAACGAGCTTGAGTATTGGATGTTTGTGGGGGGAGACCATCAATAAGTATGGATATTTTTTATGATTTTCGTTTGGCCAATAGATAGGCTGATCGATTCCAGTATTATCGGCCATACAAGCAATCCGTTCAACAGATCCTTTTCGTGTGGTGGTTCTAGCGGTGGAGAGGGTGCTCTGCTAGGTATGCGTGGTAGCTCAATGGGTGTAGGATCGGATTTAGCAGGCTCAATTCGAAGGTGAGATATTTCGGATAGAAACATTTCTATAAAAATATTTACTGACACCTAAAAGCCCATCAGCATACCAGGGACTTTGGGGTCTTCGTCCGTCAATTGGCCGTATTCCGTACCATCGCATGCTAAATGCCATGGAAGGAAATGAAATCATCGAATCGGTCGTGGGCCCGATGTCCCACTCATCAAAGTCTCTTGAGCTCTTTACAAAGACTGTGGTGGATTCCCAACCATGGCTTCATGACCCAAAATGCCACCCCATTCCATGGCGTGCGGGGAAGCTTGATGATATTTTATCGGGGAGGTCATTGCGGATTGGATTAATGCCATGGGATGATTGCGTTCTACCTCAACCACCAATTCGTCGAGCCATGCGAGAGATTGAATCAAAGCTTAAAGCTGCTGGGCACGAAGTTATTCCATGGAAATTGGACCAGAAATACGCACTGGAACTATTAGTATGTGACCGCATGTCGCCTATTTTACCGCCGCTCCTGTGCTGAACTTATTATTACTAGACCACTGCGATCACCAGTGATGGTCGCGGTGACGTTGATCGCACAATGGCGAAGTCTGGGGAACCTGGCCTAGGACTCTCGTTTCGCCCTGGTCAGAAGCCACTCACAATCCTAGAAGCATGGGAGCTTACTATGAAGCGTGTTGATTTTCGAGCATCAGTTCTCGAACAATGGAATGCCACTAGGAAAGATGCCTCGCGCCTGATGGATGCGTATATCACCGCCATCAACCCGTCCGTAGCTTTTATGCACGGAGAACAAAAACGGACACGATACGTGGCGTACACGGGTACAGTGAATTTGCTCGATTTCACCGCTTGTACTATCCCGGTGACATTTGTAGATTCGGATATGGATCTTCCTGACCATCCAGAGGGAAATTTTGATGCAGCCGGCCAGCCTATCCCTTCACCGAGGTCCGATCTTGACGCGGCGGTCCGGAAGAATTATGAACCAGGGCGCTATAAGGGACTCCCTGTCGCTGTTCAGGTAGTAGGCCGGAGACTTGAAGAAGAGAAAGTACTGGGTATCGCTCAAGTTCTGCAAAAGTTGTTGGGATCGTGAAGGTCAAGCGCAAGACAAATAATACCTTTATACTCTCTAGCTTTCTCTAGGATTAGATTTATCCGTGACTTGTGTTGATGTCCTGTGCTAATCGGTTCATCTGAGATATGAAACTTAACGCATCAGAATAATGAATATTGTCCAGAGTGGATTCAATTTTGTGCGTATATGATCCACTCCATCGACACATACTCCGCAGATATGGCAAGAAGCGAAGAAAGTCTGCCCTTGACGATAAAGCACTGGTTGGTCGATTAATGAAGCTTCAAAGGCCCACGTCTAGGCTCCTCACCGTTTGCAGTTGCTGAGTTTGTATTCTGATCTATTAGCCATTGCTAGTTTGCAAAGATAAAGACGGAACTTATCCGCCTTTACTTTCTCTCTGAGAACAGAAAGTTTGCACTCCCGTATGGACGAGTTTCAGGTTGTTCCTCCTGATGTCTCTGGTGGCCCAAGTGTTTTGCATGATTCCGTCATCCAAGCCCCATCCGATCCTCGTACATGCGAGTACTATTCGACTGGGAATTGCTTGTTTTCGACTTGCGGCAACCAAACCGTTGATGATCAGGCCAAGAGGCTTGGACTCCAAAGGGCAGCATGATACCCACAACGAACCTTGAATAAATAGGAGAGGTTGATTCAAACTCCTAGGTTCTGTCAACTGCAGGCCGCCAGCAGCTAGAGCACTTTCTTCCCCGAACTGAAGGACAGTGCCGGTTAGTTTGATATACCTCAGATCAGTCATTGGTGTACGTGTGTCGGTGGAATGAGACTTTAAAAGCTTGATATAACTGCGAAAGCTTAAGTAACTGGTTAAATAGCTGAATGGCAACCAACAACCAGTGAGTTGGAAAAAATGGTAGAGGTTGATCTCTTCACAGAGAGATCCCAAACGCTCCCTTTATATACCCGGCCATGGCGCCCCATCATGGGAAAATAGTGCCTTGAACCTAGCATCCGCAAGGTAGGGAGAGATTTACGAACACAAAATACTGTTATCCCGTAGTGCCATAGCGTAAAATCAATCTCGTTGACGACTTTGGCAGCGCATCGTCCACATCGGGACCAGGGAGGGAACCAAACACAGCGCACAGGTAGTTAACCACTTCAAGCCGCCAATATTTGTGACATGAGGTGCCGGGCTGTGGTTTCATCGCTAGCCTTTCAGAATAACAAAATTAACCCCGATGTGGAGAAAAAAAAAATGGGTACGGCAAACCCATATCGTACTGTCTGACGATCTCAGCGAGGAGAAGAAGCTTTTTTCCCAAGGCTGATGAGTTGGCACAGGCGGAAAGACCTCTAGGTTCTTCCTCTGGCATGGATTTTGATTCGATTCTTTATTCAGTCTGTTTTTGAATATTAGTTCCGCATATACTGTTAAGGTGTTACCTTGTTTGTCTCTCCAGCTAACCATTGCGAGATTGCTCCGTTGCAATTACTATGTATGGGTTCAGCGCCGTAGCACAAGCACGGGCACAGGCACAGGCACGGACAAACTCGATGCATCAGATGCTTGCCCGATGCATGCAGTGAGTTTCAATAAGAGCCGGTTGCTCAAGTGCCCTTCGGAGAGGAAACATGCGAAACCAACTAAGTTATTAATGATAGCTTGTTGCGGATTCAGATATGTACGGGGTTATGCTGTGCAAGATTGACTTGCATGTATTTACGTAGCTGGGAGGCCAAATCGGAGTGTGAATATGCGGAAAGAATGCAAATAAATGAAATTCAGGTTTATTGATATAGAATGAGGGGAATGCGAATTATTCATGCCGTTTCTGAGCTTTTCACCTCTCGAATCAGAGCTTTTCTAACGTGCTGTTACACAACTAAGTTACTCTATGTTCTGATAAAGCGGCCATTGGTTCAACAAGGGAGAGCCCCCTTTTTTCATTTTTCGCCAGGTGAGGTAGAAGCGATTCGGCACATGTAGTCATCAATCTATATAATCACTTACATGCCACATGAGCAACAGCTCAGAAGCCATAGATTCAGTCCAATTCATAATTTCTAAGAGCATAGAGGTCATCGCCAAACAATATTTACACATAAAATGTTGAAACCAATAAACACCTTTATAAAAGCCCGCCACTGCTACGATAAAGGAGCCTTAGCAAAACAAGTAATAAGACAGCAAGACATGAAAAGACAGCGTGGTATCATAAACATTAAAACATTCGTTCTCTTTGGTCCGAAAAACATCGTTGTACACTATACTCTGTAGGTCGGGGTTATAACCCCCTGCTCGAATGGCTCACCCTTGGAGCAAATCGTAAGAAATCCCACGCATAATTTGTTTTTTTTTTTATATTTTTTATTTTCGTATTCGCTTTCCTGATTTAGCAAGTTTCCCAAGTCGAGTCGTTAAGTTGGAGTCGCCGCGGCCCCATGGAGCTAGTATCGATACGGTCTTCATCTTCACGTGGTGGCCTAATAGGTCGGGATTCTCGATGCTGGTCATGGAGGCCTGGGCCAGTGGCGGATCCAGTGGCAGATCCGGTGGTAGATCCAGAATTCTTTGGGGATAGTGATAGTAAATTAGTGACTGCGTCAAGGAATTGGCGGCTTCGACGACAAGATTGTGGTCTCTTGAGTCTTGGTTCGGGAGGTGGGATAAAGGTAGGAGCATTTGCTGCACAAGGAGAAGCTGTAGCTGGTGCCGCTTGCATGCCTGTAAAAAACTCTCCCAACCTCCCATGCCATATAAACAGTCCTTAGGCGGTGGTTCAGGTGTTACAGTGCTTATTGTGTCTGAAGCTGTAGCTTCTGGAGTATTTGGGACGGAGCCAGGTTGGTCAAAGGGAAAGGGCTTTTGGGAATCTCGATCGGTTATGACATCTTCATCTCGTTCTAGCCGATGACATGGAGCCACCCTAGATCCTGATAAGCTGTTCTTTTCTGGATACCCGTTATTCGCATGAGCTAGGGGAGCGGGTCGGATTTCTTGGTAAGTTGGCATTTCCGCTTCTGTGTCAAGGCGAATCCCAACATCAGTTGCAAGATCAGCGTCACTGCCCCATTGGTGGGTTGTAATCGTAGCACTGCGGGAGAACTTTTGGTCACTAGCTTCACTGACAGAACCAATTTGGTACTTTTGTTTCTTCACACCTCTGTCTCGCATGAATGATCCAATAACAATCGCATTAGATATCGCCGTAGCGACTAGAACTTCGAGAGATGCAAATAGAGAGCGGTATTGCTGGTTTCCATGACGTTCAATCACGGCCGGTACACGGTAACATGTCATTACGACGAGGATCAGGGACAAGGAGAAGAGGATAGTGAGAGAGAGTTTTCGCCTTGTAGGCATAGTCGAAGCAAATATGATAGGAATCGGAAAAGCGACGAGAAGGATATCTGTAGCGGCATCACAGGCACCCATGGCCACCAGGTGTGCATATCCCTGCCGGCATTCGGGTGCGGGCATCGGGCTGACCTGCCAGTAGTCCTGGAATGGTTGGCATTCCGCTAATGTGGAAATTACCACTGCAGCAAATGTAACAACAAGGAAGAAACGGATAAAATTCAACATCAGTTGAAAGGAGCGCCGCCAGGTCTGCGCGGTGAGTCGTGTGAGGAACTCAGCGATGGTATATTTAGCAGTCCAGATGCTGAGGAATATGATTATTAGTCGAGAAACAATCTTCTGTAGGCGAGTTGAACTACAAGGGATGCGCTGCGACAAAAGCCTATCTAGAATTGCTGAGAACTTACAACAGCGCATAGAATATCCTTGCTCCCAAAACCAGCCCGCTTCCAATCTCCCGTCGACGAAGCTGAATATCTGAAATATTTGCTGCAATCATGTTGTTCGTGCCGTAAAGAAGAACCAAATGGACCAGTCCCATGCGGATGAGCAATGGGATGACACTGATGAGCATAACCCAGTCTTCCGGGAACAGAACTTGGGTTCGAATATACCGGCCAAGAATTCGAACAAAAATAATCGCGAGGGAGAACCCGGTACACCACCAACTAACCAGGAGAGTGGGTATCACATCCCACCTGGTTAGCTCGTCAGGCGCATTGCTCGAATACATTCGAGTAACAACCCTCGATATACTGTTATGAGCGCCAGATCTTTCGGCGTGAGAACCGGGGGGGTGATGGTATTATGACCTTCCGCCTGGTCAGCTTCACAAAGTAAATGGCACCGGCACTGGTGCACGTTCCAGAGTTTTCTTCCCTCTCCGAACGCCTTTCCTGTAGTTGCTCTCGGATGGCTATCTTCCAACCCCCATCAGGTCAGAGTGGTGTGCGCATTTAAGGTAGCTCAGGTTAAAAATGGATAAGTTGCATCGACAATTCAAAGGAGAACGTCCTGTCAAAAGAGGGTGGCACCGTTTAACAGTGCTCGTGAGCTATGTTTCACGGGAGATAACATATGTTGGGAATCACGGGAAGGGTTACAATGTGGGAAAACACAAGGCAAAACGGCAGCGTGTCGGGCAAAGGTTGAAAGTATTTATGGACCACTTGAAGATTCTAACGATAAGAGGTCGTGGGATGATTTCTTGGTAAGCTGGGGATAGGGAGGACTTCTGAAAGAACAAAGGAGGGCTCACTGATCATGCAATCTCCAGAAGCACAAATATTTAAAGTAGATGGCAATGATGAAGAAAATAAGCCCTGGGGATGCGGAATGCAATAATGCAACGTCATCCCAACCGAATAAAATGTCGACCAGGCATTCGGGAAACCAAGCCTTGTACTTCTCAGTACAAATAAATTCTACTACTGATAGTGTTGCGATTTCCAATACTTTGGAAAAGTACGGATAGGAACCATAAAGGAAAACCCAAAGTAGCTATTCTAGCTGAAGAGTTCATACTAGCAGTTGAATTTTTCTTGTAATCATTTTGACAAGCCTGCAAGGGTAGGGAGGGTATCGATGAAATAATTGGGCCTGCTTGTACTTCGGGCTCTGCCAATTTTGTTGCTCGGAGCCGCTGACTTCTGGAATGTGGCGGTCTGGTAACCATGATCTCTGACAGGTTAAACAGACGGCCGAACATATTTCTTAATCACATCCAAAGCCAGCAAGCAGGAGTGACCAGACGTGCGCTAAAATAAGAAGTCGGGGATATGAACGAGGTGATACTCATTGTTATACAACAGTATTTTCGTTGCTCTCGTTGCTTTCGTTGCAGGCCCGTTAATTGCGCCGTCTATTGGGCCCGGAATAGGTTATAGGTACACCGCATGCGTAGTATCACGCAGCAACGAACCGGCCTAGGCGACTTTCTGGGGGAATTTTTGGAGCAACAAAGTATTTTATCCCTTAGTTCCGGAATTGCTATATCGATAAAGATAAGAGCATAGACTGTGTGGAGATAATATTGTTGAAATATTACCCTGTCGATAGAAAAGATAGCGGCTGATAAAATGGGCATGAATGGTTTGTTGAAGGGCTTAAATATGCCAAATGGCGGCCCTTGCGGTGCTCTCTCGCGCCACGTAGTAACATACCGCGACATCAAATGTAGCTGTGAAGATTATTAGGTCGTCGACAGGCGACAGTGTTAGCAGCCTGTAACAATAAGTAGTTGGGACGTTTTCGTTCTTTATCCGTCCCTCAGGAGGTAATTTGCTTTTCTCAAGCCATAATGAGCAACTTCGACCACTTTTTCTCCTGACGCTGTTTATATATTGCGCATTATTATGCGTTTTTAATAAATAATTCCCTGTAACAGGACAGGCAATTAATATCTGAATGGTTTCGAATCTGGCTGTGAGGGCTGCCGTTTTCCTGGACATGTTTTACTTCTCACTGCCCTGGCATACATCTGACGGGTGGGAAACGACCGCTGGCAGCTGGCATATTTGACCACCGAGGTCGCGGTAACGGTATCTTGAGGGCCCATCTGCAACATGGCCAATGTATCATGGATCGACCCAAGCACGTGGGGTGAAGGCGCGAGTCGAGGAACGACACACCTTGCTAGGCGGGTGCAAAACTCCTAGAGCCAAAGAAAGGGACGTTCTTCGGTTACATAAAAGTGGGATTATTCGCAAATCCAAATTTAGAACGCACCTGATGGAAATTGACCAAGTCGGAACTTTTGGAGCGAAGACGTTTTGTGCGACTGCTGGTGACTGGTGACATGTCAACGTGAAGTATTTCCTGTGGTTGAAAACCGCCTGAGCGAGCTTTTGGCGTCCTTGGATAAATATCCCAGCCTGGATTTGGGACGAATCAGGTTAGCGCAGAAAATGGTGTAAGGTGCGAAAGGTTTCAAGACAGTCAAGCTGGTTATCCTTGATCACCTCAGTCTTTTTTCTGCTTTACAATGTCAATATCATGCTCAGAGAGCAGCAGACGAATCGTCAGGAGCTCAGCAATTGCCTCCAGTCGGCAACAAGGCAGCTGAAGGCAAATCGCCAGTTTACGTCGGGGGAAACACGGTGATAAAATTCCAGGCAGAGCATTTTTTAACCGCAGAGATGGGAGTGAGGATGACATCTGCACCTATTGATTGATTGTATGCAACCGACCGTTTGTGAGAATGACCAAAACTGATTTGCTTCAAGTTTTAGTAGGTTACTCCTCTAGGCGATTCCGCAGAGAACAAAATAACAAGACCACCAATAAGTATGACAATCTTGTGTCATTTTCCTTTTATTCTCCTATAATTAAATTATTCCCTTTTGTCCAACCTGCCTTGAAATTCAGCGCGATTCATCCCTCCCTTCCTTCTTTTCCCCTTCCGGATATCAGAAACAGGAAAGCTTTTGAAGGCTTTCGCTCTTGTGTAAGCATGAAAGGTTAAGCTGATGCAATCTGACAATCAGAAAGCTGAATCAAAAAGAAAACGGAAATTGCGTAGTCTACACGCCCAAACGTTACAGCGATGCAATCAATAATTAAAAACTCAAGGTAAAACATATCAAACAAAGCTCCCTTCCCGACACCGTACGCCATTCTGCTCGTCGTGAATAAATAGTAAAAGTAAAGCGCGAAGACTACCCGAAATAGGGTAACGCTTACAATTTCGTCCATAAAGATTGGTGGTATACCGATGATCTGATAGAGAGGACAAAGGCGAGGTTGTGTGGGGCCGGTCCATCCACCCTCCCATTTGGCTGATTCTTTAATCAGCGAGGAGTAAGGGGTAAGAGACACAGTCTGATCCTTCAAAGTCCTGCTCATCCGTCAAATAATCCGAGTCGGGGTATTTTGCCAAGGAGGAGAGGCCAGGGTATTCCGCGTTCCCTTATGGAATACCAGTTCATACATTATGCAACACCTAGACATGGATGCGCCCGTTTAGGTAACCCAGCGGTAGCTGGCATATCGGCCAGCCGTTTCACTCTTTCTAATGATCTTCACAACCTGTCCTCGTCGCAGACCTAGGTATTTCGCCACGGGGTCTCCACTCTGGATACGCGGAAGCTGAGATTCCTTTAACCGATATCGTTGAAGGAGCCGTTTCTTCTCCTCCGCACTTAGAAGAACGTGCTTGGGTACTAACTCGTGATGTGTAATGTTGACTAGGAGTTCCTGTTCTTGAAAATGTTCGCAGAAACGGCCTGGTATACTATTGAGAACTCGTATGGCGGATGGGGAAATTGGCGTTTGGCTAATGAAGATGCCGGTGTGGTAGTTTTGTTCGTCTATGAAATGGTTAAACGCACGGACTTGTTTTGTTCCAACGCTGTGTATATCGGGACAGAATTCAACGTAAATAGTACCGCACTCGGGGACTGGGTTTGGTTTTAAAGTTGTGGGGAGGGGAGTGTATCTGTCCATCATTGCCTGTGAAGGCCGGGCGCTGATTTTCATCTTATTGCGACTATCCACCCACCGCAAACCAAGGCGATCAGTACTCTGTGCAGGAAGAGCAAAAATCGGTAATAACACGGAAACACATATTGTCACGTACTCAGGAAACCCAAGCGCGTCTGAATATCGCGTTCTGAACTCGTCGAGAGGAATTTTTATCTCTTCTTCGGTCACTTCGTAGCCCTGAATACAACACCCAAAAGCGTATCAGCAATCGCACATATATAGGGGGCGCGAAACGGGAATTAAGGCATACCCGATCAGCCAGCATCTCGAAAACTGTTCTCCATGTGCGCCAGAGCCTCGTCATCTCACGATCCGCGTCCGCAGACGCCCTCGAGTATTCTTCATCCGCCATGGCGAGCTAGGCTCGTTTGCCGTGTTCCGTAAGAAGCGGTTTAGCCTTGGAACAAAATAAAAATATAGAACGAAGGAAGTAGACCAAACCGCGTGTATGGCGGAGGCAAGCAATAGGTTTGACGTGGAGCCTGATGTTGGTGGAAGGTGTAGAAATGTCAATGTCAATGTCTGATTTTTTTCTTTTCGGTGGTGGCTTGGTTTGGCTGTACTTTCTCGAAAAATCGATGCAACGCCCAAAGAGGCTAGGCGCACAGGCCACCCCGTTGTGTTGCGGCCAGATTTATTCCCCGTGTTGATTTTTTTTTTCCCTTTTCACCAGATTCCGCTGCCGTCCGCCCTGTCGTTAATATTCCTGTAGTGCTGCAATCTCAATTCTCATTGCCAGGTTCGCGGTTTGTTCTTTATACTACAACCCACTTAGGCATTGAACAGCGCTACGTTGTTCTACGGAATTCATTACGGCACGATCTACATTGGTTCTGTCCAGCACATCTGTCCACAATGGCCGCTGATACCAAAGCCCAGGCTCCGTCGGATGGGCACAAGACAAGGCCTGAGAATCCCAGCGAAGAGGCCTATAAGGCTAATCTGGCTCGTGCGGAGAATGAATTGGCCTCTATCCAAAAGAGAATGGTACGTGTAACCGCCGCTTTCTACGTACTGCGCCTTTCCTTGGCTTGATACTGACTGTAGACCATATAATATAGGAAGAGATAAAGGCCAAAATCAATGTGGCCAAACCAAACAACCAAGACTCTCCAACCGCTAAGAGGGCTCAGGAATTGCGTGCTGAACTTGCCTCAATCCGTCAGCAACAGCAGGGTTTCAAGGCCTCTCGAAACAGTATCCAGGAAAAGATGAATGCTCTTGAGGCCAATATCAAATCCCGTGTTGCTGAACAAAAGGCCTCGCGTTCCCGCATCGCCTTCAAAAGTGTTGATGAAATCGACAAGGAAATCCAACGGCTCGAGAAGCAAGTTGATTCAGGCACCATGAAGTTGGTTGAAGAACGGAAAAACCTCGCTGAAATCTCGAACCTCAGAAAGCAACGAAAGGGTTTCTCTGGCTTTGAGGAATCTCAAAAAGTTATTGACGACTTGAAGTCACAGCTCAGCGAACTAAAGAAATCCCTGGACAATCCAGAGGCCAAGGCCCTGAGCGATAGATACTCCACGATCCAGCAAGAGCTAGACGCCATGAAAGCTGAACAGGACGCTGCTTTTAAGAACTTGAACGCTCTTCGGGACGAGCGCACAAGGATCCATGGCGAGCAGCAGAAGGCGTACACCGCAGTCCGGGAAATTAAAGATAATTATTACAAAGCGCGTAGAGCATATAAGGAGTACGAAGATGAACTTTACCGCATTCGTCGAGAACGCCAGAAGGCTGAACGGGAGTCATATGAGCGGGAGAAGAAGAAGAAGATTGCTGATAAAAAGCTGGAAGAGGCTTCCCGGCCAGCCTACACTGATGAGATCCTAACCGCCCAGGGCCTCATTCGACACTTTGACCCCTCGTACGATTTCTCTACTTTGGGCCTGGAAAAGGATAAGAAGGGACGAGGTGGTGGTTACCGTGCCGAAGTGGGACGCACTGTTGATGCATCTGATCTGAAGGGCATCAAGATCATAAAGAAAGATGACCGAGAGGAAAATTACTTCATGGGAGGCACTGGCGGAAAGAAGGGTAAGAAGGGCAAGAAGAACTCGGCAGCCAGCTCTCCAGCTCCCGCCCAATTCAACCTCTCTTTTGGTGTTATCGAGGATTTGGCAAGCGTCAAAGCAGACCCCCCAATGAGCCAAGCGGATGTTCCAGCCCTTGTTGCAAAACTAGCTGAGAAGATCACCAACTGGAAGGCCCAGCAGGCCGCTAAGACCGCTGAGGTAAAAATTTAAATCTTTTTCAGCGGTAGAGCCCAGTATGCTTTTAGTCGTGCAGCGAAGCTAACTTTTTTTCATAGAACATCAAGAAGGCCCAAGAAGAAATCGACCGCCTCGATGAGGAGGATACAAACGCCAAAGAGAAGCAAGCGACAGATGCTGCTCGCAAACCTGCTATCCAGAGCGAGGGTGCTAATGGGCACGTCTCTGCTCCTGTGGAGCTTAAGCAGGAGAAAGATGCGGTCGCCGATGCAGCTGGAGAGCTTCAGAAAGCCTCCCTGGAGGTTTAAATGTGATAAACGACAGATCTAACCTGGCAGTGGAACCTACAGCCCCCGGTGCGAACCCAGCTCGTCCGTATAATTTTTTATTTTATTTTCCAATTCTTGGATATATCATTCGGTTGCTCGCCCTCCCTTTCTTTCTTTCTTTTTTCTTTTTCTTTTTTCTTTTTTTTCCTTTTCTTTTCTTTTCGTCCTTCCTTCTACAAACACAATGAGCTGGATGTACTCTTTGACGGCCTTCGTCTCCGCGCAGTGAACAAAAAAAAAAAAAAAAAAAAAAAAAAAAAAAAAAGGGAAAAATAATAGTGATGGATTGTTTAACTCCGCTTTCTAGTTTGGTCATTTTTCTTGTCCTTGTCAGGCAACCCTGATAGCTAACATTGATACACTGTTTCTATATATATATCCATATATATATATGAATAGATACCTGTTTTGTCCCTGCTTTCTTGACGTGTATTACGATCATGTGGAGCTTGTATCCGTTTCTCCTCTTTTCTGCTGTCGTTTGTTTTCTCGTTTCCTTCCCTTTAGCATATTGTATTATTTTTTCAGTTCTGCTCCGATATCAGCGTATATAACATTGTTATCATTTTATTTATTCAAAGTCACTATAATATTCGTCTCTTTCTTTTCCGTTTTCCTATCCCGTTTTGATAACAGATGATACCAGGGCCCAGCCTTCACCCCGGGCCTATTTGCTCTATTCCAGTATGTTACGTTACTTTGCTTCCTTGAGGTGGCTTCGTAGGACAGGCTTGAAAGCGCTTTCCACTTGTCCACTTGAGACAATCACTCACTGCCTCTCAAGGCTTGTCAGTGCTTATTCCCCAACTTTATCCCGTTATTCAGCCGTCAACTCTGGCCAAGTACCTAGTTCCTCCCGCCATATTTCGACCATTTTCTATCCATCTCCAAAGGTTATCCAATATGTCCACCTACAGCGTCCCACACCGCACTAGTTGACGGCAGTGTATCATTTTTTCCATGGTAGATGGATATCGACTATACCCTTCCAAACACAAATCTGGCCCATGTTGGTGTCAACCGCTTTAATCCCCATCTCCGCCCCACCGACTAGGGTAGCGTAGGTCTAGCTAAATGCGCACTGGGAAGTCTCGATGTAGCTCTAGTGGGTACGTGTAGGTGTGTATAGCATACACACTTTGGTCGATCAGGCACTTGGATAGTATTCATATATAGTTAACGTACTACCCTCCACCCCAGACTACGACTCTATAATCGATAAGCGATGCATTGCCAGGCATGGCTCCGGATTCCTACAATTGAGAAGGCGTGCAGGTATCAATCAATTCCAAGTGTTCCACTTCCTTGGGTCATAAAGCAGTCTATCAATTATTGAACGGCCAAAGAGATCATTCGAAAACGTAATCGAGCAAGAAAGCAAAAATTAAAAGAGCGATGTTGGGAGACTTCCCTTTGAAGGACAGAATCGCGGGAATTACCGGCGGCGGATCAGGTATTTTTAACATTTACTTCCTAAACCCCCGAAGGATAAATAAGAAAAAAGCCCTCAAGCTAATCGATAGAGCGAAATTAAGGAATCGGCCTCTCCTTCGTCAAACAAGCACTATCCCTCAACGCCAAAGTGCTCATCGGCGGTCTAAGACTTAATGCAGAGGCTCAGAAGCTCGTTTCCCGGCAAAAATAATCTTAATAAGAATGGTGATTCCGGGCGCCATTCCGTATCCATAGCATTTGTACCATGCGACGTAACGAAATGGGACGGGCTACAAAACCTGGTCGAGAAAGTGAGGGAGATATTTGGGGATATTCCAGATGTATATGAACCATATGGGGCGCCATCTTTGAGCCGGTCTAGTACCCCTTCCCTTCTCTTCCCATTACACGGTCATTCTTACCCTCCATTTTACCTTCATTATTCATTCCATATTATGTGGGCGGTCCCAATGTGTCCCAATTTGCCGACGCAAAAAGAAAAATCTGGAGAAAGGAAAGAAAGGAGAAAATCGGAGAGGAAAATCATATACAATACATCACGAACAAAAAACAGCAAGACAAGCCAAAGCCTATATTTACACACCTCCATCGCGTTATATATCCATGGCTAGCCCCGCTCCAATTTCTGGCTCGACAGCGAGCAGGAAGAAAACCGCCACGGAACGCTGGACACCAACATATCTCATCCGATAAAATTCACGCGTATGGCGGTGCGCGCGCTGCTCGGGCGGAAGAAGCAGGGTGTTGTGCTGCTCATAGCCTCCGTTGCCGGGCTGGATGAGGTATATAGAGTAAGCCGCTATATGCTGCATCTAATCATGCAATTGTAGGGTTTGTGAAATCCATGGCGGTAGCGGAGCAGGGTTAAGGTTGTTGGGATCTGTCCGGGGTAATCTTTTTTTTTTTTTTTTTTTTTTTTTTTCTTGTTTTCTCTGCGGTTCCTGATTGCTAGCTAACTTGGACTGGGAAATTTGAAAAGAATCACCGACACCCCTATCTGGGACAACGACGAAGAATTATTGTCATACTTCTGGTCTGATAGGGCACAGATGCTGAGGCCGGAGCTCAGCGCCGCATCCATGGTGGATCTAATTCAGAAGGGCGAATATACCTGTGGTACTATATTTTTGGAGGCTGGGGAGGTTAGCAAAGTATCTTTAAGGGGTTGATAATGATCCTGGGAATATTGGGAAGATAGAGGCGTTGCCGGGAGTGAAGACAGTTGGCAAAGTGATGAAGAGTGAGATGGAGAAGTTATGATAGCCTCTAGAATTTTATGGCGCAATTCTTCTGCTTGATTTTGTTTTCTTTGTTGGGTTTTTATTTTTATTGTTTTTGCTCTTAACCATCGTAAAAATCAGGGTACGGGACGGGGAGTAGTTGGACATTATTAACATCTGAGTTAAGTTACGAATGATGACTGAAACAAATAGCTATTATGATTGCCGGAACAACCAATTAGTTAAAAGACGCTCTTTGCCGGGTTATGTACAGACCTGCATTCCTTGCCCTAGAATGGTTGGTAACACAGAAAATACCAATAGGGATAGGTGAAGGTTGTCCAATCATGCAATGCTCGTGAGGTAATGAATTCGGTGTCTGGAAGTAAAAGGTTCTAGATATATTAGATATATTGGTAGCGTAGATATAGAAGAACTACACTAGGGATCCCAATTAACTCATGAAAATGAAGCACTGTCACATGAAAAAAAAAGAGGCCTGAAAGCATATTAAATAAAATTGTATTCATGAGAGGTACAGAGTATGGTATACATGGACAAGTAGAGATACGAACAACAAGCGGTAAAAATAAATAGCAATAAAACAAGCAGGGACAATCGTTGCATATGAGCCATTTCTGCGCCTAGAAACAAATCAAAAATCAAAAATTAAAAATAAAATAAGGATAAGGAAAATAAGGAAAAGAAGTATAAAAGAAATGTTGATAGTACGGCGGGAGGGCTTGCCGCAAACTCCATCCATGGATCAGGCACCACTCCCTATGCACAATCTCCTGACGAACAGAAGTATATACCAACAAAACAGGCCCCCCGAATAATACATAACACATGTATACTATCCGGGTTTCTCCTCATCTCGTCTCTGCATCGCTTAACAAGGAAAGAAAAAAAAACAAGAAAAAACGAAAAAAAAAAAAAAAAAAAAAAGAAAAGAAAATGTTTAAAACAGAATATCCAAGCAGCAGCAACACGCCAAACCGGCTAACAGGCCGGCACAGAGGCCGCCTCCCGTTCCGCGACTGCTACCTCTATTGTCGACATAATGTCCTTGAGGCGATGGCCCGCCCTGGGGTGCATAGTACATAGGTTGTTGCTGGTAACCCTGTTGTGGTGGATAGTATTGCCCTTGTGGTTGGACGTACTGTTGGGGCTGGTTGTAGTAGTCTGCAGCGGCGGATTGGGGTTGGCCATATGGACCTGGCTGGGGTTGATAGGGCCCTGCATCTTGGTGGACGGGTGGTGGGTAGGATGGGGGAGCACCGGCTTTCTAGAGACGTTTTAAGATAGAGTTAGTATTGGGATGGGTCTAGGGGGGAAAGTTGCATGTTGGTTTTGGCATGGGTGTTTACGAACGTCAGCCATTTTTTGTTCTTTTATTGATGGTAGTAGGTAGAGTTGTCTCTCTTGCTTTTCCACTTATTTATTTTGTGAGACCAGTGAGCGTGAGATAGTTTATGAAATGTGCTCTCGACAGTTATCTGCTTGGGTGGATCTGGATCCCCGAGGGGTTGACTATAGTAGGAGTGGTAGCGGGATGGCACGGTTTACGCGGTTGAAAGAAATAGAGCAAAAGGTTGGATATAGAAACGTTTGATCGATGTCACAGAAGGAACTGGAGGAGCAGAAAGATAAATGTGACCAATATATGTGGAACCGAAGATCGGCTTTATTATGGCGGGAGATTATTATTAGCGTTGGAGGAGCGAATGACTAATCCGCGTCTGGGCCTAGTGGCGCCAAGATGGATGCCAAGCCACAGCCCACAGCCACGCTGCCCGTGTTCAGCCGCGTCATCATTGGTGGGCCAGGCAGTGCAGTGCAGGCATCCGAGATCTGCGCCGGACTGTGGCCGATGCGATGGATGAAGCATGAAGCTCGCTCTCTGTGATGCCAACCAGGCCAAGGATTAATAAAAGTTGATAGAGATTTTTGTGCGAGCTGCATACGCAGTACATACATACCACCATCATGGGTAGCGCGGGGTTAGATAACACTACATTTGGATACGCTGTAGAAATCAAAATCTCCCGGCCGTAATAAAAACCGAGCATACGCTGTACGCTGTAGTTACGCTGTAGTTACTCCGTAGTTATACACCTTTGAACATGGTGCCAAAAGAAGTTGATCATGACCCACTTTTCTGGACCACAATGTTCAACTTTAGCACACTCACTCCACACCTCATACATAATAATACAACCCATATTACTGATAAAGACTGACTGTCCTCATTCCCCTTCTCAGTATCCAGCTTCTTATTAGTGTGTAGAGATGTAGATTGGAGGGTTAAAAACTGGAATTAGTATTAGAAAGACCTAGAATAGAATGAGTTAGAATCTCAAGAAATATGAAAAATCAATATTATTGAGAGAGTGTAGAGATAATAATGTGCGGGATATGTCTAGTACCACGTACTTTAAAAGCTAATGGGGAGTATACTGCCATGGGTCCACAGTTGAAATTGGTTGGAACCATTGCTCAGCTGCACCATGTTCAGTTTTGTTGGCAACCACGTTCAACTGTAGCCCGATAAAAAACCTTCACATCCAAATGCAGTCACCAGGTAATATCCCGATTTCCCTCTCTTGCCTGACTTCAAACCAACACATGCATTGCCAGAAGATATATCCCCTACAAAATTTTGAGAAATGTAAATTAAAATCAAATCATTAAGAACAACCGTATACCCCTAGGTAGTGTCAAAACAGGAAAACAGAACCACTCAAACATCCTTAGAACGCCGCTCGTTGGATATCATAATAAACACGGGGAAAAAAAGAAAGGAAAGGCCCATTCTTATCGTCGTCAACAGAAGCCAAGATGATTCGCACTTGGGCATGAAAGAACAACCGGAGAGGAAGGCGGAAAGAAACACCAGATGGGCTCCTAAGCACACAATAGCCGTATTGTGAAATCTCGGATTCCTCACCCAGAGACCTGGACGATGGTTCAATGATGTGTCTCAAAATCTCGAGACCCTGACCATTTTTGGATAATTCCAACATTCGATCAAGAAGAAAGGGCGAGCGAGGTTGAATACAGGGCAACTTTGGGAGTGACTTCTTGCCTCCCTTTGTGGGTCAGCCGCGAGTCATTGCCGCAGCATTCTCCCTGAATATCGGATTCGGTGAAAGTGAATTTTATATGCAAACAATGCACTCCGGTCGAAAAAGCAGCTAATACTCTCATCTCACAGATTCCATAACAACGCCTCAGAAAAACCCCCCCTTTATTAATGCCGTGCCCGTCGACCAGAACCTCTCCCACCTCCATACTGGCGGGGATCAACAGTCCGGTAAGACCCAGTGCGTTTGCTATAAGACCTCTCCGATTGCGACGGCGTCGACAATTCCTCAAACACCTCCACAACATCCTCCCCCGATGATGGCGAAGATGCACTGGAACTGAAAACCTCAATCACCTCCGGCCGTCGTCGATGTGATTGAGGGCGGCGAGGAGGCCTGCTGTCGTCTGTCACTGTCGTCGTGTCATCGATAACAGTAGTTCGGCCGCCGAAAATGAGGAATAGAATCCATATAACTAGCACGAAGCCGCCGACTGTGCCGACTACTATACCCACTACTGTGCCGGGGGAGGAGGTGAAGGAGGAGTAGGTCGACGGGATTGATATCATGCGGTCGCGGCGCTGGAGGTGGGAGGAGGAAGATGATATCGATTGTGTTATGTCTCTGGTTTTGGCCATGAGAGATATACCGAGGGAGGGTGCTGAGAAAGCATTGTGTTGGGATGATAGGGAGGCTCGTTTTTGTGGGTTAGACAAAGGATCTATCTGTGCGATATCTCGGGCGAAGTTTTGCAGGCTACCTGAGGCAGCTGTGAATAATGGTACAGGCGCCATTTTGTGGATAGGATTTGGTATTGACCATGAGATACCAAAAATGTATTGAAATAGTCACGGGTTTGTCTCATATGTAGTTAGCAGCAATTTTTTCAGATGCGTTTCTGGGAAGAGGGTCGGTGAGTCTGGGAGGCGGGACGTCCAAGGATGTATATAGGTAGTAGATAAAGAAGGGAGCTGGCTGTTTAGTTATATACTAGTAAAGGTGAAAACGAGTGCTGATACAACAATGCCAACAGCAGAAATGAGAGAAGAATAAAAAGATGAAAGAAGCAAGGCTAGAGAAAGAGAGCAAAGAAGAAAATATGAAGCTGGGTGCAATTGAGATCGAAGATGCAGCCGGGTTGGCAATATTTCTTGATTATTCTAATATTGGTTCCCAGCCTCATGTTTATTTGCGAATGGCGGGGGATGACATAGCGGGCTTGGCGTATCCTGGGTGGCTGATTGGTCGTGGCTAGTGCTGCCAAGACATTGCCCTACATTAGGCAAATCTAGCGATCACCGGCTGGGCGCAATCATAGAGGAATAGAATATATAACAAGGAGGGAATTTTATAGAAGCGTGAAATATTGAAGCAATACTCCGTATATGGGAGCTACCATTCATTTTCTAATCTCACAATATTTACAGCTAAATCTGCTAAGGAAAAAAAAAAAAAAAAACTCTGCTCCTTCGTGCTTCTTCCAGGCGGGGCCATCAACAAGAGTGACATCCCGCATTCCTGTCCTAACCGCCTCCCGATACTCCAGAACAAGACGCTCAAGCTTGGCTCCTTTCCCATCCAACGCCCATAGCGTAATGCCAACCGTGTTCTTTCCCTGATAATTGAGGATGCCATGGGGGACAGGGAAGCTGGTCTATGGACCGAGGTTGCTGACATACTTGCCAAACTGGAATCCGTTCACGTATAGCTATACGCGGTACGTGGAAGGTGACGAGTTGATTCCTGGGAATGTGAAATACAGAGGCACATCCCATCCGCGTGGGATATTGAGATTAAATTCCGTGGTTAAATTCCGTGGTGAAAAAACCTACTCCCGCACCCACCCACAACGCCGTCGGTAATGGGGCTTGCAGACTTCCAGGACTGGGCGGTGGGGTTTGGTTGATGCCAGCCCTGTCGCTCAATGTATAGACCCCCCTCATTCAGAGGTCCACGGAAGCGATTTTGGTAATCCTCTCTGCCTAGATTGCCCGCCAACTTCCAAGTGACCCTTGACTGCAGGCGTCCGAAAAGTTTGTAATGCTGAATGCCGCGCGGATTCTTTGTAGAATCCGCACCGATGACGTAGTCCTGACCTAGACTCATGTTGTCGACGAGCATAGTGAAAACGTATTTCTCACCGGCTTTCAGTTTGGGGAAGGAATATATGTTGGTGCTGCTTGCTCCCAAGATAGCTCTTGCCCTTCCAGGATCCAATGTGACTCCCATTGAGCCATGCTGAATTCCCAAACCCAAAACCGCCTTGCGTCTCAAAGGAGATGCCCGTCTCAATTCCACTGGCGACGAAGTGTCCTCGATAGACGAGGTAGCCCGTATGGTAGCCATAGTCCGAGGCATGCAGGGAAGTCGGGGTCGTAAGTGGGCGCAAGGTATTATTGGTCTTCTTATGATCAGCAACAGTCCATAACGAATCGTCATAATCCTCCTGGAGCTCCGGTAGCGAATCGATGTACTTCCATTCCAGGCTCTCCAAGTCTGGGAGGTCAATTTTCAGAGCCACATATTCAATTGAGGTGGTCCAGATGCCATGGTCATCCACTTTATGTATGACTTTTTCTCCATTGATATGCAGTGTGCTAGTGTTTTTTGGAGCACCGATGATCTCAATTGGCGTGGTGGTGTTAAAATCTGCGGTAATATGAAGTTCACTTCCACGAACGAAAGCAGTCCGCACTAGGTATCCAGCCTTTACAATGATTGAGGAAGCGGTGTTTTCAAACGTGCTGAAACCCGGGGTCTATCCACTGCGGGGAACTTCAGGGATCCAGTAGTTATAAGCAGAGTTGCGGTCTATATATAGGTTTCATTAGCATTTTGCGCTTCTTCTTGATAACGCCTCCCCGTTCTGAAGGACATATGCTTACCGAGTATGAAAACAGACAGATCGCCAATATCCACAATGCGGCGTTCCCGCATCGTCTCCCAGTTAAGAACAACATAATCATCCACTTTCTTGATTGTCATATCATGCGAGGGTCCTTCAACCAGAAGCTATCGAGTTCGTGGACACAGCAAGCTCATGGCGTTCATTTTCCCCGCCGTAAACAACCAACACCTTGCGGTCCCCAAACTTCTTCCATGTGAATATCTCGGCAGTCGAGTAGAAAATATTTAGTTCCCGCGACGTCGTAGTCTGTAACGTAGATTTTAGAATCTCTGCCATTTAGTGTCAAAGTGCCGTTTAGTTGGGGCATGATCAAGCGCCCAACACTTGTTGGGAGCTTCAATTTGTAGTTCGTTGAAGCTTTTGAGCTGTATTCGGAAAGCCTTAATACAAAAAAAGACGAATCGGACAGCCTTCCGATCAGTGAGGTGACTGTTAATGTTGGTGTGGTCGTAAACTTTGAAATAGACCAATGGCCAGGAACGGCATTCATGAAGGAAGGTGACGCTTTCATAAAGTTGCCAATCAGCTTAAGTTCGCCATATTTTTCGCGGGTGATGTTGCGGTCTTCAGATATAGGAGCCCCGTAGTCGTATGATGTGTAGCCTCCTGGATGGCCCTAGGTTTCCCTAGTTTGTTCCACCAAAAGTCGATATGCAACAATTAGAGAATGCATTTAAAATGAAAAAGCGGAAGACGGAGAATACAGGAGGGAAATAGTCACACGTACCATGTAGAGATTCAAAAATACATTCCCAAAGCTGAAATTGTTCTTGTAGAAGACTCTTTAGAACTCGTGGTTCAGAAGTCGAGCACATTTATCAAGCCCAGCCCCGCCCCAAGGGTCATATGTCCCAGCCTGGAACTAATCTTCTATCAGTAAATGAATACAATATCTATTTAGGAGCTGCACATACCTCGACAAGGGCGTAAGGTGTGGTGGGACTTTGGATGAGGTGGAGCTGCCGCCAATGGGTGGACAAAAATCCAGGAGGCCAGAAGTCGGGATTGGCCTAGAACAAAGTTAGAATCAGATATAGGAGAGTGAATAGATTCCCACAACATACACAATTGAACCCAAGCCTTCGCAAACAAGTTAGCATTGCACTATAAAAGTTTCTTTTTCGGATGGCTTCAGCAACTTACGGATATTTATCGTGGCCATAGATGTCAACCTCACCCTTCCCTGTCCCAGGAGCGTTGTTACCAGCAGCCCATGCATCGTTGCTAATCATGGGCACCACGATCCCAGCCTTTCTGGCTTGATCAATTACGTATTGCATATAATCCCCGTCGGGAAAATCATGGATGCGCAGGGAGAGTGTATGCTCATTTTCTGGCTGGTATAATATCACTGGTCCCCCGTTCGTGATTTGCGCTTTGGCCACTGGTGACGCAATATGGGCGATATAACTATTTTCTATAGTCAGATATTTTTGTGCGGGGAGGACAAAGAGACATAGAAGCAAAGGGAGTACTTGTCTGTTGCAGCAAGATAATCCTTATCGCTAGTCTGAAATTGGCCTCTCACGCGTTGTAGCCAGCCAGGAAAACCCCCACCAGACACTTCTGCGTTGATGCATGGGCCAGGTCGAGCAAGAAGATAGATCCCAGCTTCGGTGGCCGCCTCAAAGAATGGTTCCCAGGCGAAGATGCCCTCGGCAGTGTATTCACCAGGTTTTCCCTCGGTCAAGGCCCAGTTGGTATAGAAAGAGACACAATTGAAACCGAGGGCTTTGATTTTCTGGAAAATATCGAGCCATAGTGACGGAACGGGCAAGCCGCATCGAATGATCAGTCCCATAAATGACTAGCTCGAGGAAAAACAGGGGTGCAGGGAAGGATGAGGAGGATTTAACATCCGTTAAACATACCGAAACGGATGGAATTCAGCGCTAAATATCATTATCCTTTCTCCATTGATGAATAGAGATTCATTGTCCCATTTTACCTGCTATAGGTTAGAATAGCTGTGATCGATTTTAGGGTATCCTAAGAGCCACAAACAATATCTTGAAGCAAATCACGCTTTGCAGGATCCGGATGCTCAATGACGGTGAATCCTCCTAGCTTACGGTCCACGACAACAACAGCAGCGGACTGAAGTGCCAGGCACGCGATTGCGCATGCAGAAAGGAACCTCATGGTTGCGACTCGAAGTGGCCCTAGACTACAGGGAATGAGTAGAAGAGTCGTCCCAGCTTTTCATCCGAGCGGCGCCATCGCCGTATTCTTATATTCGCCCCTCCAACGCACGCGAGACCCAAGCGTGACCCTGGAAACCAAGGGGGATAACACAACGGAGCGCAAAGGGTATGGAATGTGTTCATAGCAGGATCTTCCATTACCTAGGGTTCACTGTCCCCAATAAATGAGAAATAGGGCGCCGTTGTACTTGTACCCCTAGCTTCCTCCACATCCTTAACTCCATTGGTATAGCAGGGCTGATTCACATGGGGCGTTTTGTGGAAGGGACCTAGGTATCTAACACTTTATATAAGCCTAATAAGCCCTCCACTGCCGTGACTGATGTAGATCTTCCCAGTATGATTGCAATGAATTGAAAGCGTTGACACCAGTTTTATCCAGAACATCCTATTTGAACGGTTAGAATTGATCAGAAGCCGTCACACATTGATCTACTAACCATATTTTCCACTATTTTGCTGTGCTTCATTCGTTTGAACTCTCTTAGAAATATGGTTATCATCATGCTCACGTGTTGAGCTGCCAGTTGGGGAGCAAAGTTGAACGGACGTCTCCAAAATCCCCAGATGCGAAGACTGGACTGGACAACCGTGCCCTGTTACTTGAAAACGGTCGACGGTGTCGCGTTTAGTGGTGCATTAGCTTCCTTAAGTTAGATCCACAATTGGGGCTACAGTTTATTGGAGGAGGTGAATAATGGAGTTTTTGGACGGATCAGCATCGTTCGTGCCATTACTGTGACGTTTACACACAGCGTGTGGAGTAAATTGCAGAGAATGAAAAGGGGGAGACGATTCCGTCTTGAGGCGGAAAAGGATAGCTTAATCCTTCGGCTCTCAGCTATGCTCGCCTCCAACAAAACGGGATCAAGTCTTTCTTAGGCCCAGAGTTGATTCGACCGGCAATCTGTAGCGTACGGCATTTCTAGACCCTCCCTCGGTAGTTGGCAATTGACTTGGCGATGTCGCTCATCGGATTCATCTGCCGAAACATAGAACGTGGAAATATGACGAGTGATGAAAATTATCATGTGGCTACACGTAGATACAAGCGGCCAAGGATTAGAAAGAGGGGATCGATGTGCAAAAGGTACAAAGTTTTTGAACATAAATTGCTGTATATAGTTATATATCTACACTGCCATGGTCACATCGCCAGCCTTGTCCTCTTCCACTGGTCGAGGAGTTTCTGTGTCATCCGCTGGAGTTCGCACATCAGCGACGTCCTCAACTGGAGCATCTGTAGGTGCGTCCACCGCATCGGATGTTTGATCGAGCGTTGCAGCCGCAGCTTCTTTGCGCTTCTGTGTCATATTCACCAGTGGAGTGTCATCATCGTATAATCGCAGTAGCATGGCACGCCGTTCCTCCTTGGGCAGCATCAAGTTCAGCGAGAACATGCTTCTCCATAGCGGAAGAACCATACGTTCGCTAAGTGAAAAATTAGTAATAATTACCAGCAATGCACAGATTCACGAGTGGAGACATACCGGAAGCCATCTTCATTCTCTGTGGGCTCGATTCTCAGAACACAGCATCCCATGTCAACATCCCTCGCCCATTCGCCGATCTCTCCTAGTTGCCTCCAGCCATTATCGTTTACCTTGGGGAACATCTCAATTAATAGCTTCCGCAAGGTTTCCTTGTGATATATTTTAACCACACGGCGCGGTCCAACCCAGGATTCAAGAATTGCAAGTCCGTCGGTCTGGATGCGCCACGGGCAGACGTCTTGACGCTGCACATATTGCTTAACAAACATCTTGACGCCGGAATGTACAAACTTTATTCCAGCCCCTTCGTTGGCGGTAAGGATATCACGAGCTAGGGTGCTTGTATAATAGATCGTCTTAGCTGGGCGGCCTTGGGAATTTCGAACCATGAAACGATCCCTCGGGAACTGAGGCGATATGTCATAAAAGCTGAATATCTGATCAAACTCTTCGCTCTTAGGATGTAGATATTTGAATGGTTCCTCCATCGGTTGGCCAGGTCTGCGTTTTGCGGGGAGAGAAGGCGCTATAGATTCGGTTGGCTTATGTTGCACAGATTCACTTGGCCCTGCATCCCCTGGAGTTGGCGGAACTTCTTGTGCGCTCTGGTCGGTTTTCTCTTCAGGAGCTTTCGCAGGAGAGGGAGCTGAAGGAGGTTCAGGGTGGCTATCCTCCACCTTTTGCCGCTTGTTTGCAGGATCTTCACTCGACTCGTCAAAGGCCCTCTTTGGCGCGCTCGGAAGAACCGTTGCAGAAGCCATGACTGATTCGTTGGGGGCTAGTTTATCCGATACAGCAGCCGCCTCAGAGGGAGCCGGGGTTCCGTCTTGGTCGGCCGTATTTTCCATCGTAGTTTCGGTTGTTGAAGATGCAGTAGACTTTTTAGTTCCTTCAGGTCTTGCTTTGATGTCGCTCATCTTTTCAAGCACAGTGATGAAGAATGCCCCTGTGTCTTGCTGATGGGGATATACGCGCATACATCGGGATAAGTCGATTCCTTCCTCCTTCAGAGGAGGAAACATGCCCTCCACTATCCTATTGAGCGTATCATCACCTTGAGAGACTGCTTCTTCGACGTCTTTCCAGCTGCTCCACGTTCTTCCTTGTTTGTCCATGATGGTCCAGCTTGACAGACCCGGAGACCTTTTCAATGCAGGTAACTCGTTACTGCAATCCATGATATGAACCTTGCTTGGGCCACCACACCTGTCAATAACACTTGCGATCACCGCTTCGTTTTCCACAGGGTTCATGCTGCAAGTCGAATATACCACTCTTCCCCCAACCTTCAGCATTTGTAAAGCTCGAGTCAGGATCCGGCACTGGGTCAGGTGAAGGCCAAGCGCATTGGCAGGGTTCCAGTCTTTCCATACATTCACATTCTTGCGGGTAGTTCCATCACCTGAGCAAGGGACATCAGCTAGGATGCGGTCAAACTTGAGGTATCTGTTCCTCACTGGTTTCCCTTCCGGTGGGGGCAGCGATGGCAGCTTAAGAGAAGGATACATCGTAGCGTCGTGATTTGTAACGATTAAATTGGGAGAGTTGAGACGTTTCATCTGATGAATTAGTAAATGGGCGCGTTTATAATCGTTATCGTTTGCGATAAGTAATCCCGTCGATCTCCCATCATCCTCCAAACCATCTGATCCCATCTGGCCGTTAAGCAGCTTAGGAATGTCTGCAGTTCCCTCTTTTCTTTGAGCCTCAGCGACAGATTCAAGCCTCTTGGCAATCTCCGCCATCCTCTCCTCTTCTCCCGCATGTACCAACTCCATCAATTGTGCGGACTTGCTGCCTGGAGCAGCACACATGTCCAGCACTGTCATTCCCGGGCGGACGTCGAGCACCAGCGGAGGAATCATGCTCACTACTTCCTGGCGGCTGATATTTCCAACATCTGTTTCTGCGACCAGAAACTTCTGAAATGAAGCAAATGGTGCAAATCGGCGTATCACACTTTTTGGAGTTGTCATCGACCATGCTAATTGGTCTGGGTACCAAGGTACAGGCTTTGGTGGGTCAACAGGGTTGCCTTCATGTGTGATGGACGTAATCTTAGGGATATAAAAATCCTTCAAGCGTTCTTGTACCGCGAGCGCATGGCTGTATTTAGGAAAAATAACAGAAAAATCAAAAAGTCAGCTTCCGTCGCATAGAACTTAACAGGGTCTTGTAGAAACTCGAAGCTTGTTTGTTACCTTTTGGATCCTGTGAATCGGAAGCTGTTAGGCAAATTTCGTCTGAGAGCAGCCCAGAAATCATCCTTCTCATCATCAGGAACAATATGGAGGCCGTTGTAATAGTTTTCATATTTTTCGTTCTCCCTCACTAATATCGTGGAGTAATTTGGTCGACGACCGCGATTGCCTGCGCCACCACCACCCTTAAACCAATGTGAGCATGCGGGGTATGATAATGAAATAGGTAAGTATATCTTCATGGAATTGGTTCAGGCTTACCTTTTTATTCCCGCGTTTGCCCATAATATTGCGTGCTATTGGCCTTAGAATTTTTCGATCCCAGCATCCACAGATCGAGCTCGAATTTTTGGGCTTGGAGGAGCACTGCCGGAACAATGGTCGGACCGAGATGCCAGCTGCAGCCGGACTTCAAATATAATAATCTCGAAGTTCTTATTATTATTATTATTATTCTTCCATTATACTCATATGCAAGCGGAGCTTATGATGAGTCCTTGCGTGATGTTAAATACAGGTCAAGTGTTGGTTATACAGGAGGAAATACAGGTGTTGAGACCACGCCAAGATAACAAGAACATAGGAAAATACAAAGGAGTGACAATTAGATACATGCGATAATAACTTCCCAGCCCAGGAACATAGAGCAATTCATTGGAGCGATTTGTACACCTCTGTATTTATTAGGAACCTGAGGTGCTTGAGTTCCGGATTTAATGTATCCCCTGCGGGTTTCGAACCCACGCGCCTTGGTTTCCCACGCCAAGGTGCTACCGGGTGGCCGCATTAACCATTCGGCCACCGGGGCAATCTCGAAGTTCTCCCACTGTCGGAATCCAGTGAGTAGTATTACTTTAGCATTTGAAACGAAAATGACACCGGTACTGCATAAGGCTAGCTCTGACAACTTTTTTGCCTTCAATTGCCGAGTACTGGAAGGAATTGGCCACCGCAAATTTCACGATTTGTGTACTCCGTATAATGCCCGCCAAGATGAGAGTGCGGAGTACAACTCGAATTCTCTTTGCATCTTTGCAGCCTTCGATAAGAAACCAATATGACAAATACCAAATGAGCCTGATACTAGTTCAGAGGAAACCTGGTCAAGAGCCAGGACTGCATTCATACCTGCTCCAACAGCTTCAAAATCACTGTTGGTGACAATGTTTTTTTTTTTTTCCTAGGATAAGAATAGCAACATTGCCAGCCTAAGCAAGCCTCATAAGTCTGTCAGGAAAAAGAGGTTATACACTACTGAACGCCACCAACATCGTATTACTACAATATTTCTCATCATCATCATCAGCTTACTACAACACTCATCTAATACTCACTTATGCTAGCTCTCTTGGCTCGCACATATATTTTACTATAAATAGCTCTATCTTTTGTATGAAATAGATATATTAGATAGGGTACGGAGAATATAACAAGCAGATCTTGATACACATAAGATTCATATGTCTTCAACATATTCATCCGTGACACTCAATCCAACAGTTATGAGCCCGGTAAGCAGCATCTGAAGAGAAGTGTGATACACCGATCCCAATCCTCATTTGAATTTGACAACAATCATTTGAACTGAGATGATTGATCCTCATTCATATACAGTCCGAAATACTCGACTGTTATACCATATCTGATTCACAATCTCAATCCTCATTCAAACTGATAACTATCATTCAAACTGAGAAGATAGATCCTCACTGTATACATTCTGATATTGTGGCGGGCTGCGCCCGATCAATCATATAGACTATTCCGTACACTCCATAGATTCCTACCGCCCCATTCCCGATCGCCGATCCTCGGCCGCCATGAACGTGTATGTTCTGATCACCGATCCTCGGCCGCTACAAACGCGTGTATATTCTTCCACCCCAAAGCACCACCATGTACACCACCACATACACATATAAATATCCACTTCAATTGCCAATTCTTGCACTTTCTCTTTCTTTCCTTCTCTAACATTTTTCTCTTTGTTATATAAGATCTATCAATATTATATCAATCTATTCAGCATAGACCTCTTACACTAGAAAAATGTTCATTGTCTTCTTATTAGAAATGATTATTCATACATCATCTTCTCATTAGAAACAATTATTTATCAAGAGATATCTGAACATGTAACAATATATAAGAAAGAGAAATAATCAGTTAAAGCAGACACTGAGTTCTCAGATAGAAGCTTGCTTATCAGTCACTCTGATTCTGTAACAAGATCTTATAAAGAGAGTAAGATCTTATAAGAGAATATCAGCAAAAGATCTGAGAGTTCTGACACTCAGATATATGAGATATTTATATAATTACACATTCAACAATCAATAATCATGTCTAATGATAATATGAGAGAACTCTTGAATATAAGTATAGAAGTAATATCACAGTGACTCTGAGTAATGTTGAAATTACAACAGTAATAAATAGCTGATATACATATAACTCAATAACATTAATATGAAGAGATTTAACAATTATTATAATAAGAAACTCAGACAATTTTAATATCTACAGAATTGAATATAAAAGTGCTGAAAGAATACTTAGATACTTCTATATATTTCAATGCTTTTAATCTCACTCTCTACTCATTATAAAGAATGAAAATGCTTATGAAACTGAGTATAGATGAAGATATCATCAGTTCACTAATTAATCAAGATTAATATATCAATGAATGATTGAAGAATTATATGAAATAGAAGTTTTATTCATGAATAAAAGTATGTAAATCAGTGTTACAAACATCTGATAATATTATTAAATATCTTGATATTCTATTCTGAGACACTGTTATATAACAGAAAGTATTAGATTAATTATAGAGTATTTAACAGAGAAATACTTCTCTTATAATATTCATTTCTGACTTCAATACTAAAATTCTAGAAGTAGAAGATTAATCTTGAAAGAATTGAATAAAGATTAGTATACTTAAGAAGATATTAACTTTTAAACTCTTACAGACTCTTATAAGTGTAGATAAAGATCAGACTTATAAAGACTTTTACACACAGCTTCAGACATTGAATGATTATCTTATTAAGCTCAAGAGTATACAGAACAGTGATAGAAGATATTATATCTCAGTGATTTATACATCTGTACTGAAGAATAATAATAATACAGATATTATAAATTGAGTAAACTTAAATATCTATATATAAGTAAGAGTCTTTACTATCTGAACAGGCTTCTGAGTTTCTGATATCACTCTTAAAGAAGTCACTGATTAATATTAATAAGAAGTGTGTATTAACTGTAACTGATCAGAGTATATTACTTTCAACTACTGATTAATCTATATATCTTCTTAATCAAGAGAAAGATCAGTGTTTTCTTATTTAAAAGATGAATCAGTGTCTGTCTGTATCAATCATATTACAGTGAAGAAAGATTTAGAAGATAACTATAAGAATACTCTAATAAAACAGAGAAAAGATTAGCTTCTATTTAAATTTATAAACAGAAGCTTGAAAAGATCAGATAATAATAATTTAAAGAGAAAATGATAATGAATACAATTCTTGTATCTACTGTAATTAATAATATATATAATATAAAAGTTATGATAGACAGCAGTCTATGTTACTATACAATAATAAAATCTTCAGTTATAAGATGTTATAATCTTCAGTGTATCTCTTTATTAAAATCCTGACTTCTTGCAGAATTTAATGATTCAAAGAATGTTTATATCTGTTATATAATAAAACTAAATATAGATATGAGAGAATATTAACATGAAGATATCTATATATATAAAGTTGATAATTTTAATTATAATCTTATATTAGAACTTATCTAACTATCTGAATAAGATATTTTACTGAATACTTGAAACAGAAGCTTGATATTCTCTAATGATGACAGAATTTATGAAGATGATATTTATAAGACTATGAATCTTATACAGATCTCTGTCAACACTTATAAAATACTCTGAAAAAGAAGTCATTATTAAAATCACTGATAAGATTATTAATAAGTTTATTAATAGCAGAATTATATATCAATCTATTTCATCAGTCTGATTAATATTAAAAAGATTCTAGAAAAGTTATTCTGTATTATAATAACAGATTCTCATACAAAACTCTCTTAATAATATCATGAATATCTAGATATCTTTTAATAAGATAATATTATAAACATATTCTTCTTACAAGATTCTGAACTGAATCTGTAAGAAATCCCGCTCCTCGCGGATTCTTTACCTCTATTTCTATCTCTCATGTAATTAATAGGGCTAGCAGCCCTTGACTACACACAACTATATAGACTGAAGTTTGTGAATACTATTCACAACTCAGCTTGAATGCTATTATACATTTAATCTCTACATTTTATCTTTCTATCATGAATACTTCTAGTAGTTAACAGTATATATTATATCAAGCTGTAAATATCTGAATAATCACCTGTGAGCACTTATTCTTACATTTCAAGCTCAGTCAGTCAGCAACTGCCTGTTATGACTGAAAGAACTAGAAACTTGTATACTTTAATTTCTGTGAACTCTACTGCAGACACTCAGAAGCAGTCACTCAAATCATGAATAACTTCTGTAAAAGAAGTCTTAGAGAACTTATTAATCACTCACAGAACATCATTCTCTGCATCTGTAACAGAGAAACTCTCTGAACTCATAAATGAATCAATCTCAGTGAAGAACATTCTTGAGCATCTTTCACAGAATCAAGCTATTTTTCTATAAGAAATACTTACTGTCTGTAAACACTCTTGAACTAAGTCTCTAGACATAATCTTCAGAGACATCTGTGAATTAAAAAGAAACTTTCTTAAGCTGTGACTACTTAAGATCATCTATTAAATCACAATCTATAAAAGCTTTTATGAGTTTGTATTTGAAATTGATTCACAAGCCTGACTATGTGATATGAAAGATGAAGAAGCTGTCATCTATGTAATAACAGGTCTCTATTACATTGAAGTCAAGAACTGGCTGAATTATCTAGAGAATGATTATAAGAGATTCTAATAATTTATTCTCAAGATCTATCTAGAGAATAAGTTAAGAGACTCTGTAAGCTGAACAGAGAACATCTGAGCTGTAATCATCAATATTAGAAAAAGAGATGAGAAATCTAACAAAGACTACTTACAGCACTTCATGAAATTATGATATAAATTAAGATCTGTGAAAACAGGGCTCTGAAACAAGATCTGAATGATGATATTTATAAAGAGACTGAATAAAGACATGTAGAACAAGCTTATTAAGTAAGACTCTAAGTTCTTAACTCTGAAGA